ACATCACCTACGCCTGTGACGGGAAGCAGCACTGTACCGACCGCTCGGACGAAGACTTCTGCCCAAAATGTTAGAAACTCTTTTTGTTTAGAAATGATATTGATGATGTTTAAAAGCTATTGTATAGACTTCCCCAGGATGAATTGGTTATTCTGGGATTTCTTTAGTTGAAAGCAACAGGAAGTCGGTGACCCACCCTGCTGATGAGTCAAACCGTCCTGCAGCGCAGACGGAGGAGACAGGGGACGGCTCCATGCTGCAGTTAGGGCTCAGAAAGATCATCGAGAACGTCCCACCTCCTATGGACAGGAGCTACGCCGGTCCCCCACAAAGTCCCGGTCAGCAGGAGGCTCCGGTCGGTCAAGGTACGTTGGTTTTTACGTTTGATGATTTTCTTTCACACTAACATAAAGTGTTGGGAAGGTTACTTGTGATTCAATTATAAATTACCTGTTTTAAAATGTTGTTAGTAACCCATTCCCGATATCAGAATATAAAAGTAACGTGACTCACCAAACAGACAAAAATACAAGTAAACAGAAATACAGGGAGACGAAGAGACAAAGAGACGAGCAGCTTAATTAGACATTGGGATAAAAAGACAAGAAGACTAGGACACAAAGATACAAGAATTAAATGAACAAAGTCAAAAGGAAACAAGGAGACAAGAAGACAAGAAGACTAAGATACAGGAAGAGAAGGGAGAAAAGAAGAGAACTTGACAAAGAAACAAGGAGACAAGGCTACTAAGGAGAAAAGAATAATAAGATAAAGAGACCAGAGAAAAAAGACAAAGAAACAAGGACACCAGGAGACAACGAGAAGACAAATAGACAGTCAGCTTAATTAGACATTGGGACCAAAAGACAAGAAGACTACAAGGATAGAAGGAGACAAAAGACACAAAGATACAAAGAGACAAGAATAAATTGTACAAAGTCAAAAGGAAACAAGGAGACAATGAGACAAAGAGACAAGAAGACTGAGGTACCGGAAGACAAGGGAGAGAAGAAGACAACTTGACAAAGTAACAAGGACACCAGGAGACGAAGAGAAAAAGAGACAAGGAGAAAAAGAGACGAGACTTGCCAAACATACAAATAAAGGCAGGAGGAAAATAAAAATACTTCCATTTTGCTTTTATTCTGTATGCAAAGCAGGAAACGGTAACGCCTACAGTGCTACTTATTCCTTCAGCTGAAAACGTTTATTATTCAAGGACTTTTTTTGGCACAGTCTTGCCGTTATTGAATGAATTAGTAGCAGCAACAGAACTCATATAAAGGACATTTACCTACGTGCAAATGTCCTTTTTTTCCCCTGTAGTATCTAATAGGATCTATTTCAATCGGTTTGCTCATTTCTTAGGAAACGTCTTTGCAGGCTGGGATGCTTCTCAGCAAAAATGATAATCTTTATGAACTCCTTTTGCAATAACTTCGATATCTGTGATGTTGTTCCCATTATGTGATTGGATGTGAATCAATTAGCATCACCAGTGCAGTATCCCTTTGTAAAGAGGCAGAGTTTTTTAATGCGGGTGTGGACAAAGTAGCAGATGGAGTGTCTGTTGAGTCATAGCACTGAGCTTCAAATGCTGGCCAAATCACAGAGGCTCTCAGGATCCTGCGGGAAAGCAGCTCTTTGCCTGCTCCTCTGAGTGCTGGAACAAAGCCCCTCTGTCCCCTCCGCCATCTGATCCCTCAATCTGGCTGAGACTCTCCCCCATCGGTATTTTACCGCATGTATTACATTCTCAGGAGTCTTTCTTTCTTTGTGTCATGAATGCTCAGTCTTGTGTGTAAATGCTTGGCCAACTAAGACGATACCTCATTGTTTAGGAGAGAGAGAGAGAAGTCCAGCATCACAGGTCTAACAGGCTGAATAAGTGCCTTTTTCTCAGGACATCTAACTGTTAAATCCCCCCACGGCATCTGTTAAATCCAGCTACGGCATCAGCTCCACCTCCCTCAGTAGACTCCAGCGTGTCCAGAACGCAGCCGCCAGACTCCTCACCCACACCAAATCATGGCATCACATCACCTCAAAGAACTCCACTGGCTTCCCGTTTCTCACCGCATCCATTACAAACTCCTGGTCCTTACTTACAAAGCCCTCAACCATCTGGCCCCCCCCCTACCTCACTGACTTCCTCATCCTCTACCAAACCCCCCCCGGTCCCTCAGATCCACCTCAGCCGGTTTGCTTTCCACCCCCAAGGCCAAACTCCGGAGCTTTGGGGACAGAGCCTTCTCTGTGGCAGCCCCGAAGCTCTGGAACTCCCTCCCCCAAGACCTCCGTGAGTCTGAGTCCCTCACCCCGTTCCAGAGCCGCCTCAAGACTCATCTCTTCAACTCTGTATATCCATAAGCCCCCCCCCTCAATCACCTTCCTCATGACTGCCCTTTCTGTTTATCTTATTTTATTTTATTTGTTTTATTTTATTCATTTATTATTTATTTGTTTTGATTTGTTTTGTTGTTTTTGTTTTTGTTTGTTTTGGCCTGTCCTTGTTTGTCTACCCTCCCCCTGACTGTAAAGCGTCTTTGAGTTAGAGAAAAGCGCTATATAAATATAATTTATTATTATTATTATTATTATGAAATGACCACAATGAACATTAGTGTTCCATCTAACTATAACTCTGTTGTTGTAGATCCATGTGCTGCAGCTCCAGTTGTCGGACCCTGTAAAGGCACCTTTCCACGCTGGTACTACGACCACAATGGGGGAGAATGCAAACACTTCCTGTACGGCGGTTGCCAGGGCAACCATAACAATTTCCTCCAGGAATCTGACTGCGTCAGCGAATGTATACAAAAAGGTGAGAATGTGCTTCTTGTGGGTTTATGTTTTCTAAATCTAATTTTTAAAATTACGTAAAAACAACATGTTAACATCTTTTAGGCCCAGCTTTCAAACCGGCCACTGCAGCTCCAGCAATCACCAAACAGACTGAGATAGGTAAAGGCAGAGTGCATTCAATCAAACTTTATTGAAAAATCTGTGTATGTTACTGTAGCTATAAAGTCTAAATTGTATTTGTGTGTTTTTTTTTTTTTTAAAGCTGCCCCTAAAGTCTCTCAGAGCCAACCAGAGAGCAGCTTCCCCATCTCCAAACCATTTCCAGTACGAGGAGGGCATCCACCACCTGAGTCAGGTAAAGTTTATATCAGTGAACTTCGTGTTTTATGTGTACTTCTCGTCCGTTTCCTGTGTCACGTTCTTCCTAATTTCCTATATGCTTCCTCCTGAAGGTGCGATCCTGCCTCTGGCTCTCGGCCTCATCATCACCTCTCTGCTGCTGCTCATGATCGGCTGTCGACTCAGACTCGTTCGACACAAGATTAAGAAAACCCGCCCCCTCACCACAGAGGAGTCGGATTACCTCATCAACGGCATGTACCTGTAGCCAATCAGCAAACACGTGAGATCTGAGAAACAGTGGGTGTTGTTGCCTGAGCCTGGACTTTTTGATTTTGCTCTCCCAACTCTCTTCTGTTTCTGAACCTCCCCACACAGACTGAACCCTTCTGACTTGGTAAACTGATAGATGCTCCCTTCAAAGCCACATATTCAGATGCTTGTCATTCATACTTACCTCTTAAGAAATATCTGCGATGGAAGAGTCAACGCTCGTATTTAGATACTGATATACAGCTGTCTGCATTACCCCCAATGACTTCTGGGATACATGCAGTACAAGAGTCTTGGGGTGTTTCTCAATGTCGAGGACGCTTCCTTGGTAGGACATGTCTTCGTCACACACAGAGTCACTTCCTTCTGGCATTCGGAAAACGAAGAGTGGAACAGGCAAGCAAGTGTGCAGGTGTGCGTCATATGAGAGGCCCCGCCTTCAATTTTCCGCCACAGATTTGGGGAAATTGGTCCGTGCGCAAAGCATTGTGGGGATTTTAAGACCGCGGAGGATACACACGTGCAGCCTCGAAATGTCTCGCTACAAAGGACGCCGGGCTCGGTAGAATTCCAAGGAGCCCGGACTTTGGAACAGTCCTTCGGCGGGACTCGATGACGTAGCATCCTTGAAATAGTGGCTCTGGAGCATCCTTCCTTGACATTGAGAAACACCTTTGGTCCCCTTTTTAAACATGTATTTTATTCCTCCAAAAATCAGCGGAATATCAAACATATCAACAATGCGTTATCCCATCTACTGCTACACACATAAATGCTGTATTTCTGCCACTGGATGGCACCAATGTGGCATGTTTGTGGCGAGGATGTTACCGTTATTTCACTTGCCAGAAGCCAGACATGTAACACATTGGAGTGCCTGATATAGTGCGCTTTTTTCAGCCACAACTTTTTCCTTAAGCCATAGCAAGTTGGTCAAAATCCATTCCTTTGTAAGTTTTGGTGCATATTGTTCTTTAAAAAACAAACTCATGTGTGTTGGGGAATAATTTGCCCTGCATGTCTTCCTTCGCCCTCTGACGCAGATGACCAACCTTGAGCTGCATGCTATCTCCCTTAAGGAGGGGCTGCCCTAGCATATTGTTGATGTTGCCAGTTTATGACCGGGCAACCTGCAACACATCCGTCTCGGGGTGTAGATGACCCCGAGCCATAAGCGACAACTGTGATTGTGTCCCCAGCTGTTTAGTCTATCTATTGAAGAATGCTGATTATTACACTCTGAACTAGTTAAAACCTGGAGCTACAGGAGAGTTCTTCAGATTTGATTGTGGCATCTCAACCGTGTGGTCAACTCGTGGCCCGTGACATGTCTTGTGAATTCTCCGGCCGAAGCTCCAAATAAACCGTCAGTGTTTGCCATCAAAGCTCCAGCTCTCCATCGTGTCTCTCTGAGTCCTGTCTCCAATTGTTTCAGAAGTTTCCCCCACAATGTGGAGTATATATGTGAGACATGTGAGATATTAAAGTGTATTATATATATCTCTTGACAAAGTAGTTAACAAGAATGAACTTGAAATATTTTCCCATGCCATAGCACATTACTAAAATACAATTTAAGCCAGTGAGGTCATTAGTTTTTTTTTTATTAGTCATGATATATATTTGACCCGGACAAAAACATAAGCATCTCTTTATTTTCATGTGCCATTCCAGAAACTGTGAAAGCCAAAAATCATCCCATCACCCAAAATAAAGTGTGCTTTTTGATTTCAAGAACGCTGACATTCATTTGCTTGATATTGTTGGAGTTTCATGTTGGCAAAGCAGTGACTATCCCATGTAGTATCAGCCACCAGGAGAGCTAAATGTGAAACCAGCGGCACAAAGCAACAGAGGCGTGATGTGCACGGTGTTATGTGTGCACGGCTCTCTTTGTAGTATGTTCAGTATAACCCGATGCTTTTCTTATTCTATAGAATGAGTGCTGCATATGACACAGGAAGTGTTGTTTCTTCGGCCGTTGTGTGTTCCTATAATGCTGTTAGGAGTAAACTCATGTTAGCAGAGAGGTCTACAGTTTAATGATCCACACACACACACGCTGTTGCTAGGCGGATTATCTTAAAGTTTCCTCGTTGATGTCCGGCATCCCTCTTACATTCAGCTGCAATGTAATACTGTAAAAATAGCTGCTTGCAAATCAAACGTTGAAACCCAAAAATAATAATAACCCAAATCTAAAATCCAACATACAACCAAAAAAGATGCAGGGCTGAAAATAAAAAACTAAAAGCCCTCTGCTATATTTTTGTGCCGAGCTTCAAGCAGTCCTTTTTTTCCCCCCAGCCCTCCGTGGGCTCCACGTGAGACTCGTCCGTCGTTAAACAAAGAGCATGTTTTCCTATGCTTTCACTGCCATGGGCTGCTGCACCCCATCCACGTTTCTCCAGGTTCAAACTTAAAGGTGGATTATGGACCGTCTTCCTCTTCAAAGTTCATCCCTAAGAAACAGAAATCCAATGTTAGGAAAGAAGAGCAACATGCAAGAAACACAGCCACCCTCCATTCATGCCGAGTCAATCACATGCACAACTTAAACACGACAGTAACATGTGAACAGTTAAAGGGTTTTTTTCTACATCTCACAGAGCAAAAAAAAGGCTGTTTGGATATTTTTTTTTATGAGCATCCAATTGGACAAAGAAGCCATGCTCTTGAAAACAAAGCTTATGCCTTCACACATTTAATTAGTTTTATGTTTGGGTTTCAAACAGTGTTTCCGCCAGACCAGGGCTGAGAGGGCGTCCACCCCAATGTGTCACGTCACATTGTGTCACGTCACTTGAATTTTGAATTGAGCCGTCCCTTATAGATACTATCTCTTAACGTATGCACACACACACAATTTTGAATTGCGCCGTCCCTTATCCTATCTCTTAACGTCAGGGACACCCCTCCTGGCATGGTCCTTGGAAGATGCGGCGGTGTTTTGTTTTTTTCCGTCACAGGAACGCGCTTTGCTGGCGGCGAAAATAATCCCACCAGACTCCTTTGCCCCTCCAACAGAGCGATGTCCTTGTCCTTTTTCCTTTTCAAGCAATAAAAACTCTCGATCTTCTCTCAAATTATAATTTTTTTTGGACGCCTTCGGCTCGAGTTCAGGGCGTTCCGAGCTGAATAAGAGCGTCAAATGACGGCAAGACGCCTTCCTGGCGGAAACGCTGGTTTCAAAACTCTGTCAAATTCCATTAGTCAGGCAGGTTGTAGTTAACTAATTTAGAATTATGGAGTTCAAAAATGATAAAGTAAACGTGCAGCTAGCTGGTATGGCATGGAAGAAGCAAAAATAATATCAACAAGCAGCAAAACGCAGCCTCTTGTGATCCGTTGCCTGCTCCACGCCACACCGGTTCACCTTTAGCACTGTGAGAAGCAGAGAGAGGGAGGGGGGGAGAGAAGGAAGTCACTTCCACCTGGACCACTGCTTGTCTTTGTCTGTTAAAGGCACATAAATCACGCCCATCAGGGGCTTCATTTTGGTGCTGCCGTCCTCCAACTTGTCGTACTGCTCCAGCATCTGGTTCCCCCCCGCCGGGCCCACGGGCAGGATCAGCCGCCCGCCGGGCTTCAGCTGATCCAGGAGCTGGCAGAGACACAAGGAGTAGATGTTGTGAGGACACAAAAGGTTTACATAAGGACATTGTAACCTCCATCATCATCATCATCATCATCTCTCACAGTATCCACAGAAACTCACGGCCTGGGGGACGTTAGGGGCTGCTGCTCCAACGTGGATGGCATCATAAGGAGCTTCCTCAGGGAGGCCCATCCGCCCGTCTCCCACTGAAACACACACAGCGTCATGTTGAGATTGGTATGCTTTACCGATTGCTGTGCTGGCAACTCTTCTTTGGGACTGTTTCTGACTATGCTTTTCATTACTTGTCTAATCTACTGATCATGTTTTCATAAAGCAGGGTAATATTGAGAAGAAAAATCACATGCAACTTTATTCTAATGCATCTAGCTTCCTATTGAGAATACGTTTTTTTAAGTTGGAAGTGATGTCTCAAAAACAAAGCAGCTCTTCCGATGTTACTTTTTGACATCAAATAGTTTGTCTTGTGTTAAGTGTAATAAAGTTTTAGCCTGAATATTTCAATCTGTAAAAAACCCTGCAAGTCTGTTTTCCCTCTACTCTTTTGCTGCCTATTTATAGTGTATTTACTTATGTGTAGGTAATCTACCGACCAATTTAAATGTTAAATTGCAAAGTACACTCAATGTAGAAAGTATAGCAGCCTTCTAATGGCGCGTTTCCACTACAGCGCGGAGCACGGTTTAAGAGGGCTGTGACGTCAGCGGCCCGTCTTTGGTTGCGTTTCCACTTGGCCTAGTACCGGCCGGCGGGTCCTAATTCACAGTTTTTCTGGCCTCATAAAATCGTGGGTCTAGGGCCAGAGACAACGAGGCTGAGTCGGGCTGAGTATGCTAAACTAGAGAGAGCGTCGCTGGCAAGGGGGCTACAACTACAACAAGATGGACATATTTGACCGTGATTTAATTGTAATACACGTTTCAAAATGATGCCGAAGTAACAACATACTGATACCGGTTAGTAAAAACCATGAATTAATGCTTTGACAAGTCTGCAGACAGACGGCAGGGGAAAAACCTTTTAAAATGCGTGTTTTCTAAATGGAGATTGGCTAAGCTAACGCAGTATGTGCTCCGACCGTCCACACTCACAACAACGGCCTATACAGACATAAATAAAGCAGCGACTGTATTCGCCATGACACAGACAGTCTGTGGTTTGTACTTGTTTAACTTTTGTCTAGTTTCTGAACAGATATGAGGAGCTGTGAGCTCTGAGTGCTAACAGCTAACGGCTGTGTTGTTTTTCTGGGGTTCTCATTGAAGATGACGTCACGGCTCCGCCTACACTGCGTTACTATAGATACTACCCCAGTTCCTAAACTGTAATGGGAATGCGCCATAAAGTGAGCCAGTCCTAACGAGGCCTAGCCATACCGAGCGAGGCCGTGTAGTGGAAACGCGCCATAAAAGTCTTTGGTAATTTTGCATAGTTAATGATTGAAATAGCTGGCAATTTATACATAAGGGAAAATACTCGACCGATACTCAACAAATGTCTTCCACCCGCACTGACAATCAGTCATAAATAGTTTTCAAACATAAAAAAGAATGACTATTTACAGTCTAGTATTAGCACTACCAGCCTCCTGCAGACAGAGCAGCTGAAAGTAGGCACCCACTGCTTAATAATTGAACACTGCACAGACCCATTTACTGAGCTACTGTTTGTTGTGTCGACACTGAAGAGAAGATAGAACGCACTGAGGAGCTTTCAATGTCAGCTCAGATTAGAGTTATTGAAATAAGTTCTAAAAGAACAAACAAAATCCCCATGACCTTTGATCGAAGACATCTTACCCATTAGCGTGACTCTGCCCGACGTTAGCAAACTGGGGTCATCTTTATTCACATTGTTTATAGAGTCGTCTACCAGCTCCTGGATGTGATCGATGCCTATAACTTTCCCTTTAGGACCAACCTGTAAAACAGAGAGGGAGTAACGGGGCTCAGCTCACACAACAACAACAACAACAACACAACAATAAACCTCACATTTAGACAAACTCAATCAGAACTCCACCAAAGAGAAATGGTATGTGTTTACCCGTCATGAGTGGCTCACCATTCGTGCGAAGCAGGCGGACAGGATGCCGCTGCCGGAGCCCACGTCCAGAGCTTTGGCCCCGTCGTACAGCTGGTCGTGAAGGAGCTCCAGGGCGTAGGCGTGCTGCGTGGAGGGAGAGGACGTCGAGAGGAAACAGCATCACAACCCGTCAGCCAGCTTTCATCTCACACGTGACGAGGTCAATCCTACACAGTACATCTAGCTGACCAACATCACTACTTGTCTCTTTCTGTGAGTGTTAGCATCATAAAAAATATGATTTATTTAAATAAAATAAAACCAGACAGGTGATTTGAGTAACATGCCAACAATCAACACAAAAATATAAAATTGCATATATTTGGTTGACTGACATTGTAAAACACAAAATTGGTCGGATTTAGGGCTGGGCAAAATATATGGATATTCTATCAATATCCTGATATGAGATTTGATTTGGTCTAAGTTTTGGGATATTGTAATATGACACAACTTTTGTTTTTAACTGTTTTAAAGGATGCTTTACATGAAGGTGGTGTCATTTGATTATTTGTCTTAACCCCCTGAATCATTAAATCCATATTAGTAATGATTATTTATCTAAAATGTTATTGTGTAATGATTTATGAAAACTCATACAATATCGTTATGGATGTCATGATATGGATACAGGGGAAATATTGCTATATTCATTCAAATCCGTATCGCCCGCCCTAGTTTGATTTGGCACAGAAAGGGAAACTATAATTAGTATTTCTCTGACTTCCTATCTTCTGAGAGACTGAATGAGAGCAAGGTTTTAAAAAGACTGTTCACAGTTGTTATTCACAGGATGCAGAAATGTCTGAGAGTGTTTTAAAGTCATACCATGTGTGGGGCGCTGATGGTTGCTTGATAGCCTTTTGGTGAAAAGAAAGATCAGGTTAGTTCATCCCTCTGACATCAAACTGTGTTCCAGATTGTGCTGTGAAGCATGAGTGTGGGTGTGAGCACACGTACCTATTGACTGCGGCGAGTCCATGTACGGATTACACCTCGAGAAATGGCCTCGGTCTGTGGCCAGCATGACTTCATAGACCTTGTCAGACTTAATAATGCCATTTTCTGTGGATGCAAAAAGAGTGTGTGTCATTGTCTATTAGGGAAACATGAAACAGCTTAAACACCAGGCGGGAATATATTACATAATCTTGCAGCAACTCAAAAGACATAAAAGAAAAATAACATACAGGCAAAGACAGATTGTTGGATATTAGGCATTGCACAACCAATTTCTTTGACTAGTGGATCGTTTTGGGTGTGCAATATAAATATCTTTACCCTGAGAATTTGAGAACTATCAGCTGTGTGTTATTAGAAAATATTTCACTGTGATAATGATGGATGAATTACCCCAAAACATATCTGGCTTTATAACCTTTAATCACTCGTCTCGATTTATTTTCCAGAAAATGTATTATATACAGATATCATGGGAGACGACCTAATCCATTCCTAACTCTACATGGTGTGGTAGAAGGAACTAGAAAGGCTCCCCAAAGAAGTTGTGTCTTCAGAGTAATGTACATTGCCTTGTTTTTCATGCTGCTGCAACGCAAACACTTCCCAAATTGGGATCAATAAAGTACTTATCTATCTACCTCTCTATCTATCTACCTCTCTATCTATCTATCTACCCATCTACCTCTCTATCTATCTACCTCTCTATCTATCTATCTATCTACCTCTCTATCTATCTATCTACCCATCTACCTCTCTACCTCTCTATCTATCTATCTATCTATCTATCTACCTCTCTATCTATCTATCTATCTACCTCTCTATCTATCTATCTATCTATCTATCTATCTACCTCTCTATCTATCTATCTATCTATCTACCTCTCTATCTATCTACCTCTATCTATCTACCTCTATCTATCTCTATCTACCTATCTACCTCTCTACCTCTCTATATATCTATCTATCTACCTCTCTATATATCTATCTATCTACCTCTATCTATCTATCTATCTATCTACCTCTCTACCTCTCTATCTATCTATCTACCTATCTACCTCTCTATCTATCTATCTATCTATCTACCTCTCTATCTCTCTATCTATCTACCTCTCTATCTCTCTACCTCTCTATCTATCTATCTATCTACCTCTCTATCTATCTATCTATCTCTCTATCTATCTACCTCTATCTATCTACCTCTATCTATCTCTATCTACCTATCTACCTCTCTACCTCTCTATATATCTATCTATCTACCTCTCTATATATCTATCTATCTATCTATCTATCTATCTATCTACCTCTCTACCTCTCTATCTATCTATCTATCTACCTCTCTATCTATCTATCTATCTACCTCTCTATCTCTCTATCTATCTACCTCTCTATCTCTCTACCTCTCTATCTATCTATCTATCTATCTATCTACCTCTCTATCTATCTATCTATCTACCTCTCTATCTATCTATCTATCTATCTATCTATCTACCTCTCTATCTATCTATCTATCTATCTACCTCTCTATCTATCTACCTCTATCTATCTACCTCTATCTATCTACCTCTATCTATCTCTATCTACCTATCTACCTCTCTACCTCTCTATATATCTATCTATCTACCTCTCTATATATCTATCTATCTACCTCTATCTATCTATCTATCTATCTACCTCTCTACCTCTCTATCTATCTATCTACCTATCTACCTCTCTATCTATCTATCTATCTATCTACCTCTCTATCTCTCTATCTATCTACCTCTCTATCTCTCTACCTCTCTATCTATCTATCTATCTACCTCTCTATCTATCTATCTATCTCTCTATCTATCTACCTCTATCTATCTACCTCTATCTATCTCTATCTACCTATCTACCTCTCTACCTCTCTATATATCTATCTATCTACCTCTCTATATATCTATCTATCTATCTATCTATCTATCTATCTACCTCTCTACCTCTCTATCTATCTATCTATCTATCTACCTCTCTATCTATCTATCTATCTACCTCTCTATCTCTCTATCTATCTACCTCTCTATCTCTCTACCTCTCTATCTATCTATCTATCTACCTCTCTATCTATCTATCTCTCTACCTCTCTACCTATCTATCTATCTATCTACCTATCTACCTATCTATCTACCTCTCTACCTCTCTACCTCTCTACCTCTCTACCTCTCTACCTCTCTACCTCTCTATCTATCTATCTATCTACCTCTCTATCTATCTATCTATCTACCTCTCTATCTATCTATCTATCTATCTCTCTATCTATCTATCTATCTCTCTATCTATCTCTCTATCTATCTCTCTATCTATCTCTCTATCTATCTCTCTATCTATCTATCTACCTCTCTATCTATCTATCTATCTATCTACCTCTCTATCTATCTCTCTATCTATCTATCTATCTACCTCTCTACCTCTCTACCTCTCTACCTCTCTACCTCTCTACCTCTCTATCTATCTATCTACCTCTCTATCTATCTATCTATCTATCTATCTATCTATCTACCTCTCTATCTATCTATCTATCTATCTACCTCTCTATCTACCTCTCTATCTACCTCTCTATCTATCTACCTCTCTATCTATCTCTCTATCTCTCTATCTATCTATCTACCTCTCTACCTCTCTACCTATCTATCTACCTCTCTACCTATCTACCTATCTATCTATCTATCTACCTCTCTATCTATCTACCTCTCTATCTATCTACCTCTCTATCTATCTATCTATCTCTCTATCTATCTATCTATCTCTCTATCTATCTATCTATCTAGCAGCTGGTCCCAAAGCAGGAAGAGCCAAGGACAGCGGGCGCTTCTCATTCCCCCCGGCTCACTGTCAGAGCGTTCTGCTGCATAAGGTTGCATTACAAATAAACCATACAGGCTGCCAGATGGACACATAGTGATTTTAGAAATTAAAATAACCCATAGTGTCAGATTTCAAGCGGTTTTCTTCCCAATAAGAATCTTTCTAAGAATTTAAAGTTGTCCTTTGCAACCCCAAGTGAAGTAAACACATCAGGGTGCTGATATATATAATTAATGATGCAGACAAGGTTTGAAATCAAATGCAACTGGGTGAAGGATAACTGCCTGCACCGACCAGTCCTGAACACCAGTACGAAGGACACAAAACATGAAAACAGTTGTGAATTAGCATGCATCCTGTGTGTGACCTGCTTAAATCCAGTTTATGCAAACTGAGGGTTAGATTTAAATCATTCATGGGTCTGAATGGGCCAGTGAAGTGTTCAATCTGGAGGGGCAGGCAATCAATGTAATGACCACTTCAACAGCAAATGTAATATGTGAGAGGGACTACCTATACAGTAGCCTTATATGTCCAGTACTTGTGCTAAAAAATACATTTGCATAATTGTCAGACATAAGGGGATGCTCCTGAATTTAAATAGAAAGGTATTTTGTGAATGATTTCCAGTATTTAATTAACAACACCAAGGAGCTTCTTTCAACTTCCTTATTTATTTCACCATGCACAATTGCAACATGCATCATAACTGCCAAGAAAGAAAAAGAAAGAAGAAACTGCAAATGTATTTTGTGCTGTGGTTTAAAAATAAATAGACCAAGAGTGACCGCTGCCTTCAATCCATACACCTTTTCAGTCAAATGATCTGTTGCAATGCTCTGCTGCACTGCATAGAATATAAATAGCCACTTTATATTGAAAGTGAAATTGACACTAAAGTCATAACTTTGAACATCATTTTGTAAGAATTTGATTTGGTGTTTGGTGCATAAACTAGGAAATCGAAATACACAGAAATGACTGCAAAAGTCGAACATGTAAGAACAGAAAACTCTAGTACAAGTAGTAGGCTACAATCCAATCCAACTATTTTTAGAATCAGAGAGCTGTGCAGTGTAGGGAAAGATGTACAAACATATTGATCATTTTGCTATAGGCAAGTTATCATGTCAAATCAGAGCAAGTATTTTAAACACACACTGCACTGTCATCTGACTGCAGAATGTGGCACTGATGGCATCGACCACAGTGGATTCAGCACCAGATAGCAGCAGTCTGGCAGCAGTCTGGCAGCAGGGTGATACACTGAGTAATTGCTGTTATTTTGCAGAGCAACAACTGCCACTTTCAATCACTCACTCACAATGGCACTATAGAAACTAGGCTCACTTGACCAGCTGTCAGTGTCATTAGTGTAATAAAAAAGCGGCACATAGATTATAGTAGTAGATAGCATCAATTAATGTGGGCAGGGCTTTTAGCAGCGCTAGCTTCAACGGCTACAACGTTCCAAATGACGCACATAAAGCTAACAGGCTAAGCTAACGTGACACAAAACTGAAGCTGCCCAATTGAACTGTAACTTTAATTAACGTGTGTGTTTACTGTTGATTCGAGCAACGGAATAATGCGTGAATCCGCTCCACTACAGCATGGTTTGAAAAGGGGTGGAGAGAAAGGTAACGCGAGGTCAACAGCAACATAGCTTAGCAACCAGCTAGCTAGCAGCCACTCCTCCTCCTCCTCCTCATGTGTACACACCTCAAAACTACACCGTTTTTCAGAGAACATTCTACAAAAGCGTCAGTGCAACCACCGTGCAAAACATTAGGACTTACTGCGGAGGTTGTTGACAAGCTCTGCGTGGCTGACTCCTCCAGATTTCCAGGCCATTATTAAACACGCTTTGCGGAGTAAGTAGATAGCAACTGTCAGTGCCGCGCCTGCGCCAAATGTTTGTCCGATGAAGCTGACAGCCTCCAGAGCAGAGGGCGCGTCACCAGACATCCACATATATCTCTCCTGATAGTACACACCCTGAAAAATTTAAAAATACACTATTCATATTTTATTTATGGTTTTAAATTAAAGCCTCAGCTAAGGTTAAGTGTACAATAAAAAAGAAGGAGCATAGCTTACTCACAATTACATTTGCCGCATAGACGGTGGCCGGTAGATGGAGTGCGACAACAGTGTATGAGTGCGACACTAGCTAGTGATTTTTTATTTATTTATTTAAAACAATGACAGTATGTAGCTATTGTAAATACGTCTGTTAAAAAATAATAATAATTAATATCATTTTTCACAATTTATGCAATGGGAGTTCATTTTATTTTAATCATTTTATAATAATATGTTCTGTTCAGGAAATGGTTTATCCATTTTATTTGCTTATATAATTATCATACTATATATTTATAAGTGTACAGGATTTTAAACATAAAACGTTTTTTTCTATGTATAGGCCTACTGTTGAAAAAACATTTTTGAAAAGAAAAATAATGATCTAATTGTAATTATATTAAGTTTTTAACATATATATTCAATTTCAGAATATTATTCATATATTATATACTACAGAAAACCAGGTAAATAGCATGTATTTGCCCCAAATATTGAGAAAATTCGCACAAATGTTTTAAAACTTGTTAATAGTAAATTAGCGAAAAGTCGTCTGATTTGCTGGTTTGACCTTGCTGGGCCACCGTAGCTACGTACAAAGTAGTGAGGCGCGTACGCACCGGATTTGGTTTTCCCCACGAATGCTAAGCTAACACTAGCAATCGTTATTTTTTTTATTTAAAGTGTGTGAAACTGTTTCAATGGAGAGTGTAAATGCTAAGTACGTGTCCCAGAAAATCAGTAAAACCAGATGGCGACCCGTATCTCATTCCACTTTGCAGCAACCAGATATCTTTGCGACTGGCTCCTGGGATAACGAGGTTGGAAAGTTGTCTGTCATATTATGATGCTGCAATCATTCATCGAAATATGTATGAATTCTATATGGTTTGGGCTTTTTCGCGTGTCACACAGACGCTCAAACATGACTTAAAACGAGTAATATACCTTAAGGCATGCAGCTAGTGCATAAACACATGTTGTATTAGCTGTAGGGATGTCATGTTAGACTTACCACACACTTAAGCCATGCTATTTCTTTCTAATTCTTACTAAATAGAAGGAGATACATGGCATAGTGACCAAAACATTTCCTTATTATGATAACTGTCAGTTAGATTATTGTCTATTCTTCTGTGCTTCACATTACAACTTTTAAAACAAGTTCAAATTGTACATCAATTACTAATGAATGTGTTTTTATATAGGATAACAAGATTTCCTTTTGGTCAATTGGGAATCATGGAAGCTCTGCATTGGATGATGAATTTGAAGGAGACCCACAGCTTTTATGTGAACACAAGCATGATGGAGATGTTCTGGATCTTCAGGTAAGAAACTCATCTTAATCATTGTTGATACTAAAGAAAAGAATACTTGTTGATCTGTTAATCTGAAATGTTGCTCTAACCAGTTTTCGAGATAATGCAGATGCAACTTTTTTTCTCTTCTGATCCCTCGTTCAATAAGACTATTGCTTTGTTTTTCAGTTTTTGGACCAAGACAAAATCGTCACAACATCGTCAACTGGAGCAGTAACCATCTTCCGCCACCACCAAAACAGTGAGGTACGTACCGGCAAAAATGTTTTTCAGATGCAAAGTGTTTCATGGAGGATGTCTTTATTGAACCTATAACATTAGGAGAGATTACTGACATTCACAGCATTCATTAAGTGCAATGAAGTGGGTTTTTTCACACTTAATGGTTTTCCTGACTCTTTTAACATACATGACATTAATTATTTTGTACAGTTTTCATTACATTTGTACACAAAAAAGAAAAGAAATAAACATTATTTATGCATTTTATATACCCACACAATCCCTTAAATGTATTGCACATGTTAATTGTCTTTCCAAAGCTTTTCAATACATTTACTTTTAACTTTTATACATTTTTGTTTTGGCTTTTTCAAATGAGTCAGTACATGATAGTCAGCTGTGTATGATTCTTACCTTAAACCTCCACACAGTAAGTATTGTATGAAAGTATAAATGGTACAATAACTTGATTTTAGCTAGGGATATCTAAGGGTTAGATTTACCTAGCTTTGTATTTATGAGAGCATTTGCATATTGTGAAAGCGTTACACATCCTCATGTCCTCAAGATGTAATTAATTACTGTAAACACCTTTATTTATCATATCTTAAAGGTCCCCTATTATACTGTTTTTCATCAATATATTATAGGTCTCAGATATATACAGAACATGTCTCTGAAGTGTTTGGTTCCAAAAAAATCGTTATGACATCATAAAGTGGTCAAAATCTGATCAGCTCATTTTCAGACAGGTTTTTATATAAATGGATCAGGACAAAAAGTGAGAGAATCTTTTTTCCTGAAACTTTCAGAGTGTCTTTACACAGAGGGGACACATGTTGATGTAGAAGAGACATGAAAAAGTGCATTTTGCATGATAGGTCCCCTTTAAATTCCATCAACATACCAGGGAGCAGCTACACAAATATTTTGCACTTCAAGGAGGTGAATGTTGGACAAACTGGATATGTTACATACTTCTGGTTTGGTAAATATAAAAATTTATTTGTTGACTACAGACGATATCAGTTTCTCAGCGCTGGCCAGGAGTTCATTGTTACCCATGTGACAACGCTCCCTGTACTGGGGTCGTGTGCAGCAGTCCTGAGATCGTCACGGTCGGTGAAGATGGAAGGATCGTCGTCTTCAGAGCCGACCAGGAGGGAGTCGTTAGAGTCATAGGTGAGGTTAACATAATGATAGTGTCATGATATGAAATATCCCATCCCGGGAGATAACTTGGTAGAGCGAGGGATGTTAAGCCTGCAAAGCCAGCTTGATCTTTAAATACACACTTTTATGAATAGGCTTTTATGTGAATCACTCCCTATGCACTTTCACATTTTATAAAGGGTTGATCTGTTCTTAATTGGTACCTTTGTCTAATGGTGTGTTTAGTTGTGTTGGTTTTCCTCCTCTATTACTTTTTGCTATTGATGCTGCTTTTTGGTTTCATTGAATGAAAAAAATAAAGGTTTTTGTTACTATTAGTATTAGAACTAATAAACTAATACTATTATCATTACAAAAAGCCCCAAAACATATTAAAAACAGTCTTTACATTTTTTAGAATATCATAACACCTCCAGATCATAAAAGTTGAACACTATAATGTGTCTAATGTGTATTTTGTTGTACTTTGACAGAGAATGCGGACAGCAGCACGATTCATGCTGTGACCTACCTGAGGACCACAGAGATTTTGACGGTGAACTCCATCGGCCAACTCAAGCTGTGGGACTTCAGGCAACAGAGCAACTCGCCATCCCAGATTCTCTCCTTGTAAGATTTCCACAAACAAAAATATCATTTATCCACATTTGTTCTTCTGATCTGATTTTTATAATAACTTGTTATTCTTCCCAGGTCAGGGGATAGAGTCCCTCTGCACTGTGTGGACAGACATCCCAACCAGCAGCACATTGTTGCCACAGGGGGGCAGGACGGCATGCTCTGTGTCTGGGATATAAGACAAGGCAGCACACCCTTCTCACTCATGGAGGCTCACTCTGCTGAAAGTAAGAGTTTAGTTGGATTTCTTATTTCTGTTTTTTTTTTTTTACATTGTGGTAGGGGGTAAGGGAAAGGTATTACAGTTTTTGTTTTGAACACATCAAAGATGGGGTAAATAAATGCTTGAACATTGATTTTTACGTTTGTATTTCTCATTAATTTAACACTGGTTTTCAACGTGAATAAGAAAGGAATATTTCCACTGTAATTGTTGTGTGTATGACACATTCTTTATTTTTAAATCAAAGCAAGGAAAGCCTTTTTTATAGGCAGTTGAATCAAATTGCCTACTAACTATGTTAAATTATCATTCTCTTTGGCAATGACTTTTTTTATTATTGATGTACGGTTTTTCTTTGCTTTTCTTTACAGTGTGGGAAGTCCATTTCCACCCGTCGAACCCAGATCATCTGTTCACCTGCTCAGAGGACGGTTCACTGCTGCACTGGGAGACGTCCGCACAGTCAGACATGCCCTCCTTCTTACAAGGCAAGTGTTTCTGTGGACATCATCTGGCCTCCTAAAGCCGCAACAAGATTTTATCTGCAAGCTGCTGCATTAAAAGTTTGCAGTTGCAGCACAATCATTTGATTAAAAACTACATTTTAATCACAACATGTATATGTATTTAATATATTAGTCATACAACTGTGACTGTAATCTTTTGGTTGTCAGAGCAACAACAAAAACACTGAGACAGCTGACGTGATACTGATAACCAAGAGCTAAAACGCTGGCAGAGCAAAATGCTACGAACTAAAAGGGCTCACTGGAACTTCATCATCTCAGTTGTGCATTTATTATGTACTTCAATACTAAAACTATTTAACATACTTAACATACATTTAATAAAACCACAAGACACTTTATTATCATGTGAATATGTACAAATATGAAATGCTTAGACTGAAATAACATCGTGAACCTTGGCCCATGGTTCACCCTCTCCCCACGTTTCATAAAAATTCGACCAGTTGTTTTCCAGTAATCCAGCTAAGAAAGAAACCAAAACATAAACTCCTTGAAGGGATGAATTATCTTCTAAAATGTTAATTGATTGTTTCATTGTTGTTTTCCAGGTGGCAGGAACAACAGCATGATATCTCGCAGTGCGATGGCCCCGGCTGGAGGAAACCAGTCCCTCATCAGCGCGTGGCTGAGCGGAGACTCCAGTAAAGGCCGCGTGGAGACGACTCACATGTTGCCCAGCCAGACGCTGTCCGTCAACAGCCTGGATGTACTTGGACAATGTCTTGTCTGCGGGACTGACGGAGAAGCAATTTTTGTCAACAGTCAAGTCCCCGTTTAGAAGAGTTGTTCCTTTACTGAACAAGATCTCTTTATTTGCCGTCAATTGCTGTCACCACATAGGTTTTATTGTCTCATTTGATCATACAAGGTGCCTCAAAAAAACTGTGTTCAAAAGTCTACTGTTGACATTTTGGTTAAATTGTGTATTTGTCATGTCATATAATGGTGCATACACAGTATTTTTGCGCATTTCTGGATGGATTCATCAATGAATCTAGGTTTTTGTAGATCATTCCACAAACAGTAGTTCAACTCTACAGTACTTTTGTATGGATTTCATTTAAAACGTTTTGAAATAAATGAATAAAAATGCCTTATACAGATGTCTAATGTGTCCATTAAAAGTTTTGTATTAAAAGTAAGAATCCAATGTAGTTCATATTGCTCCTAATACTAGGGTTGGTTAAATGCAGAGGCTACATTTGACTGTGTGCAATGCTTTGTACAAGTGTGACAATTTGTAATCCCCCATTTACATTTCCTTAGTTGTTATTTTTTGATTATGTCACAGAATCTAACAATGCCCCCCCCTTCCAGTACTCAATACAAATATTGTAGCTGCAGTTACTGTCTACATTTCATATTAAGTGGTTAAATACTCTTGTTTTCATTGTTTACAGCTGAATCCATGGCCCAGAGTTGTTTTGAAGGAAAATGGGGTAAAGATACAAATTCAAGGAGATTGGTACTTACTACCATGGGTCATACAGTTGTATTATTTGTGACCTGTGTTTAAATGTTCCTGAAAAATACGTGTGTTTTCTGTCAGCAGGATTGAAAAAGAAATGCTAAAACAAAAACACTTTTATTGTTTAATCCACAATTACCGGAAGTGTGTCGCGTTCCTTCGTGTGAACCGTTCTGTTGTGTTGTACTTGTCATTCAGACATCCCAGGAATCCAACACGACTAGAAACAGCCAGGTCAACAGGACCAGGACATTTTAAGTTAAAGTTGTACGTCCTTGTTTCCGTAAAAGGTCAACGAAAATATCGGTCGTTGCCAAAGAAGTACAAGTGTCAAAAGAAAGCGGATTTTACAGATATCGGTAAGTTGTCAGACGCGGCTAACGGCTATCTAACTGTTGCTGTTCCGAGCTAGCAGCTAGTTAGCATAGCAGCAAATGGATGCCTTTTACACAGGCCATGGATGTGCTTCTGCGCTATTGGATTATATTCAAAGTTAAATTGTAATATTGGGAGAACATTGGGTCAATAAGTAAAAGTCATTTAGGTGAATGTGTGAAACAACTCTAGCATTTTATTTCACACTACTCGTGAATGAGCTGTAGTGTAGCGCTGTGTTAGCCTGTGCTGCTAACGAAGCTAGCAAGTGTACAGGCAGGTGTTTTGTTTTGGGAATAGTCTTTATTCTGAGGAATCTTTCTTAACCTTAAGGTTTGAATAACGAGAGAACCTTAACGTGAATCAGTGGTGGGAGAAGTACTCAGACCTTTTACTTAAGTAAAAATAGAAGTACCAAAGTGTAGGAATAGGCTACTCTGTTATAAGTAATTCAAAATTCCAATGAAGTAAAAGTACATGCATCTAAATTACTTATATAATTATGTAATAATTATGCAAATGTGCCCATTTCAAAATAATATATGATCTGTTTTGATTATAAATATTGATGCATTAAAGTGTTATCAAAGCTGGTAAAGGTGCAGCTAGTTTTAATGACTATATGCTGCAGTGTAGTTTGTGGATGTTACTCCAGGTGTAACTAAAGTCTTATTTAAGTGTTTATCTATTTCATATCATTAATCCACATTTGAAAAGTAACTGAAGGTATTTCTATTATGTAATGGAATAAAAGTACACAATTTACGTTTTGTGGTTGGGTAGAAGGACAAAAGTACAAAGTAGCAAACATTTCTCAAAATTGTACTTGAGTTAATCTAATGAATTACTATTAACAATATAGGTTCATTTGATCATACAGTTTGCCTCATCTTTGCTATTATTTACCTGATACTATCTGTCAATTAGTACTTCCACACATCATATATGCCTAACCTGTTTGGTAACATGACGTGTGTTTTGGTTGCTTGCTCATCTCATATTGTACATTCCTGTCAGCAGCATGCAGATGTGAGTGCAGACATCCTGCTACCCTTTACTGCTACGCTGGACTGAGTGGCATCCTCTTCATCCCCTTCATCGTCATCATACATGCTCTTACATGAAGAGAGGGGAGAAACCCGAAGGATACAGACAGGCGAGACCCAAAACGTTTCCTGCCAGCAACTACAGCGCCAACAGCCAACACATGCTGCAGGAAATAAGGAACAGTCTGCGCAATTTATCCAGACAATCGGACCCCCCTAAAGCAGACTCTGGAGGGGCTGTAAAAATGCCTCCGGAGGACTCAAGGCAACAGGGGCGATGCAGCAACCCCAAACACCCCTACCACAAGGCCTTACAGGAGATCCGCAAGTCCCTGATGCCTTTTGCCAATGAGCCGAGTACTTCAGGACCTGAGGGGAACAAACACATGTCTCTGGAAACTCCCTGCGCTGGGTTCGACGAGGTAAGATGTTTTCATCTTTTATTTGTCACTCAGACAGGTGTTTGTGAAGGAATGTGGAGGAATTTGATTCTAAACATAACTCTGTTATAGAGAATAAGAGCCAAGTGCACTTTGTTTACTGGAGAATTATTTGAAAAATGAGAAATATGCAAAGTGGAATTTCGAGCTTGTCAGGTGACAATACAAAGTACTTTTTTAGTTGGCAGTCGCCACTTGTTTTGACACAGAGAATGCACCCTGGCATATGCAGTGCACTATTTTTAGTTGGAGCAAATGTTTAGTTCGTAAATAGCTATTACATTAGTTGGAGACAATTTGCCATTGTTCTTATAAATGAATAATTAAACAAAGCAATCTCTTGTTAGGGCTTCTCAAATGTCAGAATTTGTTTTTATTTCATTGTGAACTGAATATCTCTGGCTTTTTGACTGTTTGTTTTGGCAAAAAAAGACAACATGTTTTATAGACAAAACAATTAATTGAATAATCCAAAAAATTATGTATAGATAAATCCATAAGTGAAATACTTGTTCTCTTTTGGTACCATCTACATGACATTTCAAGACTGTAAAGAAGCATGAATGAACTGTTGGCAAAACAAGCAATCCAATGTTAAATGTATTTACAGATAATCAAGCTTTGATTGCCCAAACTCTTAATGTTAACTGTTGTTTTTATGCCTTTGTAAACAGAGCAACAGTCGCAGTATGGGCGCAGTTATAGACTACAGTGGTAAGGTGATCTACCAGGACCCGATGAGGGAACAGAAGCTTGCTGCCAACCCCAACTCTACCGGTCTGAAAGCCCCAGGTATGTAATTGTCCACTGGGACTCAATGCTAGGCTTCCTCTATTATTCCCTTTCCGGGCGTTTTCATCTAACCTTGATATTGTTGGCAGGATTTGGAACATTTGCTTAAAGAAATGACAAAACATGCTGACAATAAAAGAATGAGTCACTGTATCACATAATGGAAAAAAGTAGAGCGGAAATTAGGTTTTTGTTTTCAATCATAATGACATAATGCATTGACAGGTGCACTGCTGGTATCATTAAGTATTTTTAGGTTTGTTTGCTTCACCTTTTAAATCCTGGTGGGAAAATAGTACACCTGCATTTTGTAATAATGATCTCAGAGAATACTCAAGTTTTTTAAAGGACTTTTTTCTTGTTAATTTACCACTTTGATTTAGGAAATTCTAAGTTTTTTTAAATGTTGTATTGGGAACATGACTCTGGTGTGTGAGAGGACATCATTTATTTGTGTTCATGTATGCATTTTACACATTTTAAAGTGTGTAAAAAAACATAGTTCCACCTATTTATTTTAGTTTCTAAGATGTATAACTAATTGTATTCTTTTCCTCTTTTTTGTGTGTCTGTAGGAAGTTCTCATATCTCGCAGCCTGTGCTGAGGAGGCCGAGCTGGAAAGGCTCTAAGGAGTCTTTGGCCCCTCGTCACGTCATAGTGGATGGAGTGATATACCGCTCAGACAGCCCGGGGCCCCCTCCCTCCTTTCCCACCGCTAACAACCAGAGAGTGAACCCTCCCCTCCCGCCTCAGGTGCGCAGTGTCACACCTCCTCCCAACCGCTGCGCCATGCCTAATACATCATCCTGGGACCCATCAACCAAGCGCTACTCCGGCAACATGGATTACCTCGGGGCCCGCATCTCTCCGGGGCCTCAGGGGGCCTGGCCTGACGGGTACCAGTCATCAGCCCCTCAGAATCAGCGTGGGATCAGCCCGGTCCCTGTGGGTCACCAACCCATCATAATGCAAAGCTCTGGGGGCAACAAGTTCACCTTCCCCCCCCCTAGCTGGTCTCAGAATGGCTCCGCCCAGCCGGACTACATCGCAGCCGGCAGCAGACAGCCCCCCCCTCCGTACGCGGTCAACCAGAGCAGGCACAGTCCCACTGATCAGCAGTCAGGAGGACCCGCCTCCTCTCCCTCGTACGCCAACGGTGGAAACATCCCTACGTCCATGATGGTGTCCAACAGGCACAGTTACAACCTTGACCTGTACAACATAGGTCCTCCTCAGTCCTGGGCCCCCAGCCAGCCCTCTGGAAACAGCAGCACCCAGGACCTGTCTCCGTCGTGGCAACACAACGTGCCCCCCCGCTCCAACTCCTTCAACAACCACCAGCTGAACAGCAGAGCGGCCCACCAGTCCAGCTCCCAGCCCTCCGCCACCACCGTCACGGCCATCACACAGGCCCCCATCCTGCAGCCGGTCAAAAGCATGCGCGTGCAGAAACCTGAGCTCCTCACTGCCTTCGCCCCCACGCACCCTCCATGGATGCAGCAGCCGCCCCCACCCCTTCAAGCTGCTCCTGCTTACCCAGAACCCCCAGCCCCTGTACCCCAGATCCCTGTTGTAGCAGAGGTCCCGAGCTACCAGGGCCCCCCTCCACCTTACCCCAAGCATCTCCTCCAACAGCAGGCTGCATCCGCCCCACCTGCCTACGATCCGGGGGTCAACAAGCGAAACTCAGGCCGAGAGGAGGCGGCTGAGGCGGAGAGCAGCAGCAACGACAGCTCCCGGGACAAAACCACGGAAAGCGCCACAGCGACGGAGAAGGAGAAGAAGCAAATCACGACGTCACCCGTTCCCGTGCGTCGCAACAAGAGGGACGAAGAGCCGAGAGGGGAGTCAGGACGAGTCGCTCTGTACTCCCCCCAGGCCTTCAAGTTCTTCATGGAGCAGCATGTGGAGAACATCCTCAAGAACCATCAGACGAGGATTCGGAGGAGGAAGCAGCTGGAAAGTGAGATGCAAAGGGTGAGGAATATCCTTCATCACATCATTTCTTATGAAGTTAAATAAATATGTTTCACATTTTGCTGAAATACTTTCTACTCTTTCCAAACTTCTCCCCCCTGCTATCATCACTGTATTAAACGTGTCTTTTTCATGCTGTTCTATATTTCTTAGCTGTTCTTTCTCTTCTTTTCTCTCCTCGCGGTCACTAACAGCTGAACTAAAAAGGTAAAGGTATCTGTGCTGTCTTGTGACACAGAGTAGTCCACACACTTCAGTTATTCAAGTAAGCTGTTGTTAGTGTTTTTATAAATGTGCATAATGCAGCATGTGGCCAAAGGAAATGCATGCCACTCCATCTCACACATCTTTGTTTTGGACTAAATTGAAGGTTATAACTCATGAGGAAAAAACACCATGTTTGCACCGGTTGACTGCCTTAATGCCAGTTTATAACTTATTCTAACCAGGACTCCATTTGTGTTTTAAATTCAACCTTTTTTTTTGACATTTTGAGATGATGTGGGCCATTTGAATCACTCTTGACTGTCCTGTGCTCAGGTGGGCTTGTCTTCAGAAGCTCAGGAGCAGATGCGTATGATGCTCTGCCAGAAAGAGTCCAACTACATCCGGCTAAAGCGAGCCAAGATGGACAAATCCATGTTCAAACGAATCAAGATGCTCGGCATCGGAGCGTTTGGAGAGGTGTGCCTGGCCAGGAAAGAGGACACCGGAGCGATGTACGCCATGAAGACGCTCCGCAAGAAGGACGTGCTGCTGAGGAACCAGGTGGCCCACGTGAAGGCTGAGAGGGACATCCTGGCCGAGGCCGACAACGAGTGGGTGGTGCGTCTCTACTACTCCTTCCAGGACAGGGACAACCTGTACTTTGTCATGGAGTACATCCCCGGAGGAGACATGATGAGCCTCCTCATCCGGCTGGGAATCTTCAAAGAAGAACTCGCCCAGTTCTACATCGCCGAGCTCACCTGCGCCGTGGAGAGCGTCCACAAGATGGGCTTCATCCACCGAGACATCAAGCCCGACAACATCCTCATAGACCGGGACGGACACATCAAACTGACCGACTTCGGCCTGTGCACCGGCTTCCGCTGGACGCACGACTCCAAGTATTACCAGAGTGGTGGGTGTTACTTTTCTTATATTTAAGAGTTCAACTTGAGTGTTTAATTCACCCTCTAGAGTACAAAGAGAGTGTATTAGAGCGCTGGACCACATGTAGTATAATGACTCGTGTTCATAGTATGTCAAAATATAAAAACTAAAACAAGGCATGGTATAATAAGCCATACAAATGAAGGTCTCTCTCTGAGTCTACAAGTTCATCCATGTATGTGCTATGTGATATAAGTAGGGATGGGTATCGTTAAGGTTTTTACGGTACTACTACTTTTATCGATACCGCTTATCGATCCGGTCTTTTTACTTTTTACTCTTGTCGGTTCTTTTGGAGAAAAAAATAAGGTAAACAAATTGTGAACAAAACTAACATTGCTTTTATTTAAATTAAATAAATAATATTTCACATCAAAAGAAACAATGTTTTAACAAATCGTATTAAATAATCTGATGACAGAACTGTAAACAGAATAGCTGAAACTTTAACAAACTAAATACCTCAGTTCCCTCTAATCAGTAACCCATGTTTGTATCATTGAGTTAACTCCGTGTGTTGCTGCTAGCATACATAACACCTAACGTGGAAACGTTACTCGTGGATGGGGCTACAGAGCTACTAGACAGACAGTTCTCCGTCTGAATGTGGAGCACTTTTGCTAAATGTTTAGACAAATTGCTCGTGTTACCGCCCTTAGATACTAAACTCTTATTGCACTTTTGGTAACGAGCATTGTCCACATCGAGACGGGTAAAGTTTAACCACACCTCGGAGCGCGTTCTCTCCGCCATCTCCTCCGTGTGTGTGTGTGTGTTGCTGCATGTAGCAGCTGCGTGTGTGTAAACTGCCCCGCCCCCTCGCACACAGGCGGGAGAGAGATCTCTCGTCTGGATTGGAAAAATCGAAAATACTAAAAATAATCATAGACGCATTTTGCAGTCTTATTGCGTATTAGAAACGGAGTTGGCGACACTAAGACTGCAATATAATGTTTGTGTAGCAATAATATATATGACATATTTTTTTTAAATGTCTCCAGTACTGATAAAAAGACCGATAACGTCGGAGCTTAACGGTACCACGGTCTTTAATAATTCAGCCCCGGGGCCCGTTTAATACCGGGGCTCGGTACCCATCCCTAGATATATAAGTAATTAAAAAAATATTTCAAAGTATTCAGCAGAACAGCAGCTTTGTATAATTTCCAGCGTGTTCCTCCTGCCAAGAATACATTTCTCTTTTGCTGTCCTTTCAGTATGAAATGAATACGACTGTGGGGTGTATCGGCATTTCAATACCAAAAAGTCCCTATTAGCTTTCAAAAACTGACCAGACCGTGAAAGTCATTCAGTGAATATTATGGAAACCATGAAAATACTAAATGTAGGGACCATATCAAGTTGTTTACATTTACACCCTTCCTTTTATTAATTCACATGCCTGTGAAAACAGAACCCAGCTGATGGGTTTAATGATGTTTGGTGTGTCTCCAGGTGACCATGTGAGGCAGGACAGCATGGACTTCAGTAAGGAGTGGGAGGACGAGACGGACTGCCGCTGCACGGAGCGCCTGAAGCCTCTGGAGCGGAGGAAGGCCCGGGAGCACCAGCGCTGTCTGGCCCACTCTCTGGTCGGGACGCCCAACTACATCGCTCCAGAAGTGCTGCTCCGAACAGGTACAGAGGATACCCTGAAACTCGCTTTATTACTAGTGTCTTTCCAGAATGTGTATTGTCTTGTTATACTAACGTTTGAACAAGGACTGAAGGATATAGGGGAGACAACTGTCTTCTCAAGAAGCATCAAGTAAATAACATTTGTTTGATTACGGTCATACGATCATTGCTTTATGTTGAGCTGCAATGTTGATTTGAATGCAATTAATTAGTCATTTGTATTCTTGACAGATAACAGAATGTATCTTCAAAAGTGAATGTAACATTTAAAACAGGGGTGTCCAAACTACGGCCCGGGGGCCAAATGCGGCTCGCGGACCATTTTGAATCGGCCCTCAGCATATTAAAAAAAGTATAATGGAATACGGCTCACAGATTAAACTTGTGCTTGTCTTATATTGTACTTCTTAAATATATATGTGAAAATATATCGCACAGTATTCATGTGTTAATAAGACATCTTTTCAAACAAATTCAGTCAGTTAAAGTTGGAAAAATGTTCAAACAAATCTTTGTTGATAACAAAAAGCCCAATTACTTAAAGGTCCCATGTCATGGCCATTTCTACTGATCATAACTCCATTGTTGAGGTCTACTAAAATAAATGTATATTGTGCAATTTTCCAAACTCACATTGGTTTCTCATACAGCATCTCTGTATAGTATGTGTATTCACTCTCTGTCCTAAACGGCTTGTTGGAGCTCCTGCACCCCCTCCCTCCCTGTGAGCAGTGGCCGTCTGTGAGACAGCGAGACACAGCGAAACCCAGCCCGAAACACACACACACACCCGCAGCCTGGCTGGGAGTTTGTGTGTGTGCCCAGGCTGAGTTCCGCGGTGTCTCGCTGTCTCGCTGTCTCGCCGACCCCACACCAGTGAGCCAGCTCACAGTGTCCCGCTCCTCGCAGCAGAGAGCCTCGCAATGTCCTGGTGTGTGTGTGTGTGTGTGTGTGTGTGTGTGTGTGTGTGTGTGTGTGTGTGTGTGTGTGGTGTGTGTGTGTGTGTGTGTGTGTGTGTGTGTGTGTGTGTGTGTGTGTGTGTGTGTGTGTGTGTGTGTGTGTGTGTGTGTGTGTGTGTGTGTGTGTGTGTGGTGTGTGTGTGTGTGTGTGTGTGTGTGTGTGTGTGTGTGTGTGTGTGTGTGTGTGTGTGTGTGTGTGTGTGTGTGTGTGTGTGTGTGTGTGTGTGTGTGTGTGTGTGTGTGTGTGTGTGTGTGTGTGTGCGCGTCCGCGGAAGTCCGCGGATTGGTTCAAACGTAACGGCTCCGCGGACGTTACATAACTATACCCAAATACGTCACTATACCCAGGAAGTAAACAATGGAAAAAGAGAAATCTCCAACGAGGCGTTCTGGGGCAGCATGGACAGGTCTTTTCTGTGTTAGAGTTTTACTCGCTACAGGGTGTACTTTGAGGGTTTGTGACTCTGCAGACCGTTTACATGCAGAAAAACCTTCATAACACACAAGGGGACGGGTAATAACCGGAAAAACATGACATGGGACCTTTAAGTACATAACAAGCTTGAAATACACCCTTCCTATTTCTCCTTATTATAATCACTCTTCTTCTGGTTTAAGGGATGAGCTGCCAACACTCACAAGAATAATTGACCTACATTTGATTAATTTTGCCAACTAATAACTGATCTTATGAGGCGATATACCTCTAGTGAGCGGCCCAGCCCTTCGTATATTTTTCTGTATCTGGCCCTCTGTGAAAAAAGTTTGGACACCCCTGATTTAAAAACATTGCTGACAGATGTTGTTGATGTAAGAATGTCTTAAATCTCCTGCAGGCTACACCCAGCTGTGTGATTGGTGGAGTGTGGGCGTCATCCTGTATGAGATGGTTGTCGGACAGCCTCCCTTCTTGGCGAACACGCCTGTGGAGACGCAGATGAAGGTATGTGAAGCTCCCGCAGAGAAATGTGATGCGTCTGCATTCTGCATTGTTCCTCACTCTCTCACCGTCTCTCTGTCACCAGGTGATAAACTGGAAGAACATGCTGAACATTCCCCCGCTGGCCAAGCTCAGCCCCGAGGCGTCGGATCTCATCGTGAAGTTGTGCCGCAGCCCGGAGGACCGCGTGGGGAAGGGCGGCGCCGACGAGATCAAAGCTCATCCCTTCTTCCAGAACATTGATTTCTCCAGCGACTTGCGGCAGCAGGCGGCGCCGTACGTCCCCACCATCGCTCACTCCACGGACACCTCCAACTTCGACCCCGTGGACCCCGATAAAATGTGGAGCAGCGACAGCGACGGAGAGGACAACCTCAACGACACGCTCAACGGCTGGTTCCGCAACGGAAAACACCCCGAACACGCCTTCTACGAGTTCACCTTCCGCCGCTTCTTCGACGACAACGGCCACCCGTACAGCTGCCCCAAGCCCATCGAGTACGAGAGCTACGAGGGGGAGGAGGCGGAGTCTGAGGCCCAGGTGGCTGCTGGGAGCTCAGCGACGCAGGGCCGAGACCTGCTGTACATTTAGAGACTAATGGAGGAGAGGAGAGGAGAGGAGAGGAGAGGAGAGGAGAGGAGAGGAGAGGAGAGGAGAGGAGAGGAGAGGAGAGGAGAGGAGAGGAGAGGAGAGGAGAGGAGAGGAGAGGAGAGGAGAACTAAAGGTACACACTACAAATTAAAGACAGGAAAAAATACTTATTCCATTTTTGCCAAGGATTAGAAAACTACTAGGGTTCACGGAAAATAAGTAGGCTTCATTTACATATCGTTGGCATTCAATTTCTGAATCTACATTTAAATGCTGTCCAGTTGTGTGTTCTTCCTGCAGGTCTATTCATCTCTTCAAACCTGTTTTTTCTGCACAGTTGCAGATAGAGATAAAACTCCACTAATATTATTAGTACTATACTGTTTGTTGCATCGGTGAGCCGAACATGTTCAATAATCTCCGAGCATTGTTGAGTCTAAAAGTCAAATTCAGTATTTAAACGTGAACAAATAAATGACTGTAAGACATTCAGAGCTATATTTGAAACCCTCAAAAGAAGCTCTGCTTGTTAGAAAAAGGACTTCCGGTACAGCTCTTCAGACGTAAATGGTATCGCTCTGCTCATCCAACTCTCAGCAGAAAACCGAATTGATGTTCTCTGAATGTTTGAAAGCGACTGTACGATGTTTGCTGCCTGAAGAATAGAAAGTGAAATCAGGGTGCTCTCTTTGATGACGTTACGCAAACAAGCCTTAATTTATTTAAGAAATTGTAACTGGTGATGCTAGTGTAGCTGCTGTTTGAGTGTGGGGGTTGTTTGTATTTCATTTTAAAGGTTAGAACGTTAATTTATATTTTAATTTCTGTTGAAATGGGGATTTAGTTTTGTGCCTGGTAGACATTTGCAGGGATAATTCGCTCTAATTCATTGCTGTGCCTTTTTTTTTTTTTACCAAATATACAGAGGGTTAATAATCATTTTAAAAATGAGAGTAGCAGTAGCTGATTGAACTACAGTAGGGTTTGTTTTATTTTTCTAATTTATACTTAAAATGTATTTATAAATTATACAGTTGATGTAAATAGTTTATCTTCCCTGTCAGCTGATGTATTTTCTTTTAGGGCAGGCCCTCTGTCACTGCTGCTGATTCCAGTTCATGTTGCTCTTCTGTCTCCAAACACTAAATCACAGAACTTTTAAGTATTGTTATTAACTCATCAGCATTCAGACTTTTATACTCGTCTCCACCAAAGCACTAAGACCCCATTTACACGCAAACGAATACGATATCATAAAAGTCTTCCGTTCACACGAGACCGCTGGAAAGCGCTGGAGACGCTGTAGTACATATGCCGGGGTTAGTGCTAGATCGTATACCTCCTGGGTTTTAGGCGGCGGAAGTGACGTAATCGTGGATGAGAAGTGGGCAACTTTTGCAGCAACTGACAGCACATCTGGTCGTAAAAGTAGACACATTTAATTTAATTTAATTTTGCATGGGCTCTTCGCGACTGGAGTCCTGCAGGCATCCGGAGGACAGTGAACAGGAGTGAGAGGGAGCACACTCCTAAAAAATCTCCCCCCTTTTTTTAAATAAACCTTGTACTGTGTGAGTCACTGTAATCCGAAATCAAACGCACTCGTGGCTTTCTGAGTGTTAAACCCTATCTGTGCTTTTCTTCTTGTGAGATGTCATTTTTTTTTAAATATTGGTAATAGCCTGCTGTCCTCCAAAGTTATGAATTCTCAAAATATTATATTTATGATATTTCTGTGGAAAGATTATGTATTCATGCTCGTCTCTTGTCCTGGGTGGCAGGTTACGCCACTTCCGCCTAAAACCCAGGAGGTATACGATCTAGCACTAACCCATATGCCGGGCCTGTAAGTGGCGCCACAAAATACACCAAAAGCAGCGAAGAAGACCCCTGAGCATGGTTGCCATGGTTGCCCTTCTGTTTATGCCCCGCGGTGGATGTAGTTCATGTAATTCTCCACATTTAAAAATAACAATCACAAGACGGTGATATTATATGTTGTGGTGTTATTATTACCCATCATGCCTAACCACTTCATCCCATAGTACTTTAGTGTGAGCAGAGGCTTCACTTCCTGTCGTTGAGAATCACTCCAGCTGACTGTCATGTGTTGAGTTTGTGTTGTGCCTGTGTATTGATTTATTAAAAAAAAAGAAACCGGAGCGACGGTGGAGAGAACTGCTGATTGTGTAACCCGCTGTACTTTATCTTTGTGGTTTAGGAAAAGATCTTTGAATGTAGTTATGGACTTTATGACATTCTGCACTGGTTCTGTCTTTTCTTTGTAAGTCAGAGAATTTTATTTTTGTGTACACTGTTGCTGCGGGAGGTAAATAAAGAATTTCAACGACAAAACTCCTTTTTTTTATGGGCACCGATTGTGTTGTGATAATTATCCTACTTTGTTATATTAGAGCTCCAACTAACAGTTCATTAATGTGCCAGCAGGGGGCTCCACACACACACATTCTCCTCTGACCCATGTCATGTGACCCATTGACAAACAATTATTGCCGGATATTATTACATTACATGTCACTTGTTAGACGCTTTTATCCAAAGCGACTTACATACATTCAGTACTGTGGGCAATCCCCACAGGAGCAATTTGGGGTGAAGTGTCTCAGGGACACAACGACATGCTGACTGCAGTGGGGTTTGAACCTGCTACCCTCTGATTCGAAGATCAGCGCACTACCCCACTGCGCCACACGCTTCTTATAACTACATTAGACAAGGAGGGTGTGCTTTTTTTATTGGAATTGAATGTTTTTTGTCTTTAATGCAAATTCAGGAGTTTCTTTTGACTCAATGACTACAAATCCAATGAAAAGGTGTTGTCTTAGAATAGGAATCATTAGGTCACATGACAAGGAAGCAATTGAACAAATTAAAGAGTTTTGAATTAAAAAAAAAATATATATATATATATATAACCTTATGAAAGTGAAGGTGGACAAAAATCCAATATAAATGTGTCCTTGTCTAGTGTAGTAACAATGCAATATATCCAATCTGTTTATCACTAAAAGTGCCATGAGAGCCAGAAAACGTCAATATATAAATGTTGCATTCAAAGGCAATAGAGAGGCGAAGTCCCTCCCTTTCCGGGGGACCTCCATGGGACCTTATTTCGGAAGAATTATGCATTGAAGTCAATGGAGAGAGAAAGATTATCTTTCGATCCCGTTTGAATTGTGCCACGAATTACACACGTTTGATAATTTAAAAAATAATTTTTCAAGTCAAAAAAATAAGAATGTGTCGTAAAACTGTGAAGTAACACTTTTTGTGTGAAACCGCTCAATGAACTACATCTCCCGTCTCGCACCACACACCAAGACGGCCGTCACGTTGGCACATTTCACTCCTTTCTTTCAGAATGAGGCGAAAAGTATTAAACGAGGTGAAAATCACTCCAAGTCTGGGCATGCTGAGAGCTGTACATACACACAAGGGGAGTTAGTCGGTTTCATAAGAGCCAGCATGCGGGACCGGGACTCTGGGATTTGTAGTCTTTCTAGTTGCGTATTTTTTATAGTCTTATATTTCAACAGTTTTACGACAAACTGTGACTTTTTTGACATGGAAATTATTTTTTAAGATTGACAAACATCATGTGTGTAATTCGTGGCACAATTCAAACGGGATCGCAATAATCTTTCTCTCCCCTTTGACTTCAATACATCATTTTTCCGAAATAAGGTCCCATGGGTCGGAAGTAGATGGGCGGGACTTCGCCTCCCTATGCATCAATCTGTTGCAAAGCCAGGACAGCTCGTTCAAAGTCTACTATGACTCTCATATTTTCGACATACTGTACTATTACTTTTTCATGAAATTCAATTAAATTGAGAATGATGCAAAAAGTCCCTCAAATTAAACATAATTCAAAGTTTCCCTGAGCCCTCAAACGGACAGTATTTCAATCATAATTAGACATGAAAGGACACATGAAAGAGCACATCATTGAGGACAAAACAAGTTAACTTAAACAAGCTTATTTTTAATGGATCTGCAAAACTGTTTGAATTTCCAAAGAGAACTTGTGTACCTCCCGCCCACAGTTACCCAGTGGCAAACGTTACACAACGTTACAGAAACGCTTCCAACCCAAAGAAATCTGCATGCAGGAAACAAAATAAAAATAAATCAAACCCAAAAATAGGAAAAAAAAAATAAGTAAAATAAATCATACAGATAAAAATAAAAACATCAATTAACAGGACATACTGTATAATGCCGTTCTCTTGGCCGGAGGAGAAATTCAAACGTTCCCGCTTCAGTTGCGGCGTCCTCATGACAGAGCCGACAGATTATTAAACTGTAATTTCATTGGGTGGATGTGGCACCGCCCACAACACTAGCCCCGCCCCTGTCTTCCATATAAGGCACAGGACAAAATAAACCCCCACATACAAAAGGAGCTAGCCACGCCTCTGTCACTTGGTAACACATTGCAAATGACCAAATACGGTTAGACAACAGAAAAGAGTACAAAATGTTAATCCTACAGTTGTCTTTTTTTGTTCCATTTTCTTTTATTTAGATTTCCTCTGACCGAAAGTGAGTGACGTGGGTGCGGGGTGAGGGTGGGGTTAAGGGTGGGGGTGTCCAACCAGGTGAGCTCAGGCAAAGGAAATATTAAAAATATGAGCTTGTCTTTTCACACATTATTTCTTTATCATTTTTTTTTCTTTTTTAACAACTTTTAAAACAAATGACAAGAAACGTGACTGGATTTCTCTTTTTATCAGAAATAAACATGATCATCAGATGGAGAGTGGAAGAATATGGTGTAGGGAGGGGAGGAGGGGGGATTAGAGAGTGAAGTGGTTTATTGTTTTATTCTGATAAAGAGACAGACAGAGTGTCAGTGTGCAAGAAAAACTCATGAGACAGGTTAGAGAGCGAGAGAGTTAGAGTTAGCAGTTAGAAAGAGAGAGAAACAGAATATGTGTGTGTGTGTGTGTCTTGATGTGTGTGTGTGTGCGTTAGTGTGTGTGTGAGAGTGAAACCGAGGACTTGTTCAACTGCAGCACTTGCTCTTCCAGCCTGTGACTCCGCCTCCGCTGCTGATGTCCACGTTTTCACTGTTGGGCTCTTTTACAGGCGTCTGTCGGACCAAACACACACAAACACACACACAAAAGATATGAGTAATTATAACGATGGTACAGCTTTTTAAGAGCTCTTTCAAGGTACCTCAACCAATCATTACAAGCTTCTAAAAGTCTTTATCATCACATTAAAATCGTCAACGAGGGAATTTTTGTTTTTACAGAATTCCTTTATACCCAGAGAAACCATGTATATTGTCATATATATATTTATTTCATCACCTGTTCCTATTAATGTTGATCTTTTAATCATGATTATTATGAATATGTTCATTTTCAGAGTAAGGGATCGACTTGTTATCTAGCTTAAAATGACAAGTGAACACAAGTAATAAAAACACTGACTTTCCCTCGACTTACTTTTATAACGTGGGCAAAGTGGGCCATTTTTTTTAAATGATAATTGACATCTTAAGTTTTAGACCAACTGTCAACACATTAGATACACGTACAAGTAGCAACACAGTTAGCATCTGACTGGAGCTAAATTAGCTTTTCCTAGAAGAGCAAAGCTATTAAATTGCTTCCTGGAGAGTATTGTGAATACTAATAATACAGATAGATACATTTACATTTTATAAATACAGATAAACACATTGATTGTTCCCCCTTATTCAATCTATAAAAGACAACAATAAATACATTAGTTATTTTAGAGTTGTATATTTGCACTGTACCTACTTTGCATTGCTACACAGTCATTTTACTCAGAGGTAAACAAAGTGTTATCTTATTTGAAGTTATACAGGTATCTCAGGAAATACTAATGAGGCACAAAAAAAAAATCATTATCGATCACATACACTCACCTTTCTGAGGATGTCTTCTGCTAACGTGAGGAAAGCCTTCTCGATGCTGACGTTGGCCTTAGCACTCGTCTCAAAAAACCTAATGCCATGCTCCCTTGCAATCTGAGGAGGAGAAACACAGCGAGTTAGAACGACAAGTGTGGTTTAAGTTTAATAAAGTTCAGTCCAAAAATAAAGTTTTAAACAGAGATCAGGTATCACTGCTGTTACCGACACACACAGTCAGGTGGGGGGGGTGTGTGTAAGCAGATCTGATGATGCTAAATCTGCAGACCGACTAGTCACTGCTAACACACACACACGGAGGAGATAGCGGAGAGAACTAAGCGCTCTGAGGTGTGGTTCAACCCGTCTCGATGTGGACAATGCTCGTTACCAAAAGTGCAATAAGAGGGTTAGCACACACACACACACACACACACACACACACACACACACACACACACACACACACACACACACACACACACACACACACACACACACACACACACACACACACACACACACACACACACACACACACACACACACACACACACACACACACACACACACACACACACACACACACACACACACACACACACACACACACACACACACACACACACACACACACAACACACACACACACACACACACACACACCACACACACACACACACACACACACACACACACACACACACACACACACACACACACACACAAAAATATATATAACCTGGATATGTAGACGGATGCCATTTTGTGTGCAATGTGTTAAATGTTTAGGAAAACTCACGTAATGCAGGATTCCTATAGCATGTTTGTTTTTTGCTTTTTCCAGCACCTTACAGTGGTGTTAAATGACACTTATTTACAGTACATACACAGATGTAATGGTGGTTTAACAAATGACAGACGGATGACAAAGCTACATTATTCTACACCGAGGTGAAGAATTTAAAGAAAACACAACCAAGTTCTGTTTCACCTGTGAAATTAGATGTAATCATGAATTCTCCAGCCATTATTCTGTGTCAAAGTATGTGTTTCAAGCACCTAAACTAACCATCCTATCACTAGTGTTATTGTCTGTGTGTTTTCGGTAAATCAATCTATAATGAAAACGCTTGTAGGCGCCAACAAATCATCGCCTGGTCTGTATGAAAATATGTTGTTTTCTTACAATATTTGTTTATGACATGATGGATCATAAAAGTGATATGTGTTTTTGTTAAGTCCCTTTGCTGCCGTTGCTAGACAAGAAGCCCATTCAACACATTTTCTAATACATACAATGTCTACATAGAGATTGAATTATGCCTAGAGCTGAAAATAAACCATACTGCAACAATATTTCCTCATCTTTTACACCAACTTTAAATCAATTCTATATCCTCAGAAACAATGCAGTACTTTGTTTTAACCTCACAGAGAATATATGAGGATTCATCGGGCAATTTGACTTTAAAGGTCCCCTATTATACTGTTTTTCATCAATATATTATAGGTCTCAGATATATACAAAACATGTCTCTGAAGTGTTTGGCTCCAAACACCAAACAGATCGTTGCAGCATCCCATAATCCCCTCTGTTTCAGCCCTGTTTCCAAAGTGCTGATTCTGTGTCTGTTACTTTAGATGAAAATAAGGAGCCCCTCCCCACGCCCCTCTGAGAGATATTTGGTTACAAAGAACACAATGGTGCTCTAGGAGGAGATTCAGGTGATAAGGTGGGGGGGGGGGTACCTTGGTTGCTGATTGGCTAATGGTTACACAAGCCAAAAAATCGTTATGACATCATAAAGTGGCCAAAATCTGATCAGCTCATTTTCAGACAGGTTTTTATATAAATGGATCAGGACAAAAAGAGAGAGAATCTTTTTTCCTGAAACTTTCAGAATCTCTTTCCACAGAGGGGACACATGTTGATGTAGAAGAGACGTGGAAAAGTGCATTTGGCATGATAGGTCCCCTTTAAATTCGTTCAACATACCAGGGAACAGCTACACAAATATTTTGCACTTCAAGGAGGTGAATGTTGTTGGGGGGGGGGGGGGGTTACCTTGGTTGCTGATTGGCTAATGGTTACACAAGCCAAAAAAATCGTTATGACATCATAAAGTGGCCAATATCTGATCAGCTCAGATTGCAACTAATCTATATCTACTGTCACTTTTCACATTGAACATGTGCTCTTTTATTAAATAAACTAAACGCTTTCATTTTAAGTTGTGAGTATAGTGTTTTTGACCCTAAGAAACACTGATGCATTAATCAATAACAATAAAAATCCACAGCTCCTCTCTCTGCTCCAGAGGATTTAAAAAATATATCAAATCAGCCAATCAGAAGGCAGGACAGTGATGATGAAGTAACAGCTGCTGCAGTGGACTGCACCATCTCACCTGCTCCCCCTTGGCTTTTGGTACGACCCTCTTGTCCTCCATGTCACACTTGTTGCCTAGCAGCATCCTCTCAACGTCCTCATTTGCATGCTGAAAAAGATAAAAAGGAAAGAGTAGATTATTAGATTAATGTTTCATATCAGCGTCATTATATATATTTGTTTTTGTATTCGGGATTGTGGGAAACAGTATTTCGATCTCTCTGTCTGTACACACAAACTGAAAGATTGGCATTAAAGTTGACTCTGATTACATGTAGCTTCATCTCTGATTTCTACCAAGCTGTCTTGTTGTTGGTTAACAAACAGCGACAGATAAGAGATGCTCAGTTTACTTTTGAGAATGACAGACGAGCGGCATCAAATCCTCACGTTTAAGAAACTGGAAAAAGGGGATTTTTATCCGACTGATGATCGACTAATCAATAAACTACCTGAGCAAAATCACTCATTGGTTGAAGCGGTCACAAATGTTTGTAAACTTGCATAATAAATCTCTTTGTTTTGAGGGCTTACATGACAAAATAAGGTTGTAAACTACTGATCAAGATTGTACTTTTATTACTCTACAAGCAGCAGAAAAGCCTTCATCCGTTTGCTGTAGTAGTAGTAGAAGTAGAAGTAGTAGTAATAGAAGCAGTAGTAGAAGCAGTAGTAATAGAAGCAGTAGTAGAAGCAGTAGAAGCAGTAGTAGAAGTAGTAGTAGTAGTTGTAGTAGTAGAAGTAGTAGAAGCAGTAGAAGCAGTAGTAGAAGTAGTAGAAGCAGCAGTAGAAGTAGTAGTAGTAGTTGTAGTAGTAGAAGTAGTAGAAGAAGCAGTAGTAGTAGTTGTAGAAGTAGTAGAAGAAGCAGTAGTAGAAGTAGTAGTAGTAGTTGTAGCAGTAGAAGTAGTAGAAGAAGCAGTAGTAGTAGTTGTAGTAGTAGAAGTAGTAGTAGAAGCAGTAGAAGTAGTAGTAGAAGTAGTAGTAGAAGTAGTAGTAGAAGAAGCAGTAGTAGTAGTAGTTGTAGTAGTAGAAGTAGTAGAAGCAGTAGAAGCAGTAGTAGAAGTAGTAGTAGTAGTTGTAGTAGTAGTAGTAGAAGCAGTAGTAGTAGTAGAAGTAGTAGAAGTAGTAGAAGCAGTAGAAGCAGTAGTAGTAGTAGTTGTAGTAGTAGTAGTAGAAGCAGTAGTAGTAGTAGAAGTAGTAGAAGTAGTAGAAGCAGTAGAAGCAGTAGAAGCAGTAGTAGCAGTAGAAGTAGTAGAAGAAGCAGTAGTAGTAGTAGTAGTTGTAGTAGTAGAAGCAGTAGTAGAAGTAGTAGAAGTAGTAGAAGAAGCAGAAGTAGTAGTAGAAGAAGTAGTAGTAGTAGTAGTAGTAGTAGTAGCAGTAGAAGTAGTAGAAGCAGTAGTAGAAGTAGTAGAAGAAGCAGAAGTAGTAGTAGTAGCAGTAGTAGTAGTAGTAGTAGTAGTAGTAGTAGTAGTAGTAGAAGTAGTAGAAGAAGCAGAAGTAGTAGTAGAAGTAGTAGTAGTAGCAGTAGTAGAAGTAGTAGAAGAAGCAGAAGTAGTAGTAGAAGTAGTAGTAGTAGCAGTAGTAGAAGTAGTAGAAGAAGCAGAAGTAGTAGTAGAAGTAGTAGAAGAAGCAGAAGTAGTAGTAGTAGCAGTAGTAGTAGTAGTAGTAGTAGTAGTAGTAGTAGTAGTAGAAGTAGTAGAAGAAGCAGAAGTAGTAGTAGAAGTAGTAGTAGTAGCAGTAGTAGAAGTAGTAGAAGAAGCAGAAGTAGTAGTAGAAGTAGTAGTAGTAGCAGTAGTAGAAGTAGTAGAAGAAGCAGAAGTAGTAGTAGAAGTAGTAGTAGTAGTAGTAGAAGCAGTAGTAATAGTGTTAGTAGTAGTAGAAGAAGTAGTAGTAGTAGTAGCAGTAGTAGAAGTAGTAGAAGAAGCAGAAGCAGTAGTAGAAGTAGTAGAAGAAGCAGAAGTAGTAGTAGTAGCAGTAGTAGTAGTAGTAGTAGTAGTAGTAGTAGTAGTAGAAGTAGTAGAAGAAGCAGAAGTAGTAGTAGAAGTAGTAGTAGTAGCAGAGTAGCAGTAGTAGAAGAAGCAGAAGTAGTAGTAGAAGAGTAGTAGTAGCAGTAGTAGAAGTAGTAGAAGAAGCAGAAGTAGTAGTAGAAGTAGTAGAAGAAGCAGAAGTAGTAGTAGTAGCAGTAGTAGTAGTAGTAGTAGTAGAAGTAGTAGAAGAAGCAGAAGTAGTAGTAGAAGTAGTAGTAGTAGCAGTAGTAGAAGTAGTAGAAGAAGCAGAAGTAGTAGTAAGTAGTAGTAGTAGCAGTAGTAGAAGTAGTAGAAAGAGTAAGTAGTAGTAGTAGTAGACAGTAGTAGTGTAGTAGTAGTAGAATAGTAGTAAGTAGTAGAGCATAGTAGATAGTATGAAGAAGCGAGAAGCCAGTAGTAGAGTAGTAGATAGCTAGTAGTAGTAGTATAAGCAGTAGTAGTAGTAGTAGTGTAGTAGTAAGTAGTAGTGTAACGTAGTAGAAAAGCAGAAGTAGTAGTAGTAGTAGTGTAGTAGCTAGTAGTATGTAGTATAGAAGAAGCAGAAGTAGTAGTAGAAGTAGTAGTAGTAGCTAGTAGTAGTAGTAGTAGTAGAAGTAGTGAAGGCAGAAGTAGTAGTAGACAGTAGTATAGTAGTAGTAGAAGCAGTAGTAATAGTGTTAGTAGTAGTTTATAAGCAGTAGTTGTAGTAGTAGAAGTTATATCAGGGTATAGGCAGGAATCCTGAAGTCAAATGTAAAACTTTTAAGACCTTTTTAAGACCCTTCCTACATTTTAACGACCTCATCGCCACTTCAAGTTTTAACCGGTTACATTGGCGACACACTTACCTCACATTGACTATATACAGTATTGATTGTCCTTCCTCCTTATCTTCCAACCATTTGGACGCAAACTTGCATTTCCCCATAACGATGTTGTTTAACAACCGGCGTAAACGGACCTTCGCGCGCTATCAAGCAGTGAGCGTGCGATGTCCTGTTTAGATGACGTCACATCCAACGGGATGCCATAAATAAACTACACAGAATCACACTACACACCTACGCAATGATTACATTCAGGCAGACTGTAGAATACAACCTCTTTGGACAATTTATATACTTATTGAAAACAAGCTACAAAATGTAATACCTTGGGAAATGCCGTTTAATACTTTTTAAGACCCCTGCTTGTCCTTACAGGTCTTTAACAGTGAGAAACATTACAATGCAGTGTTCAGACATCTCATACCTGCATACTGATCATGTGTCGTAGTTGTATGTGTTGCAGCAGGCAAGAATAATAAAGACAGATAGTTGCAGTAATAATGGTATGCGTTTGCTTTGGCAAGGATCCATTAAGATTAGTCATGCAATAGCATTTTAATATCACTGCTGAGATAAGAAGTAAGATATCAGAATAGCAAACAATGAAAGGTGCAAAGAAAAACAAAGAGAAGGGAAGTCAAAACTGAAGTCTGCACTCCCTTTCCCTTATAATAAATATTAAACGTAGATTAACTTAGCAGCTCTTAAAGTGTGAGAGTGTTGCTACTTAAACACCTACACTTCACAAACAGGGTAAAGCTTTATATTATGCATTTTAAATGTTACGGTTTTTAACAAAATTGCATGTGTTTGGGAAATACTGAGCACACACTAGGGGTGCAACAACTAATCGACTTAATCGATGACCAAATTAGTTGCCAACTAATTCAGTCGTCGATTCGTTGGTGACGTCATCACGTGTGTTTTCGCGCAGTTCAGCTCCAACGTTATCGGTACAGGAGACATTCAAAATATGTATGTCATATGTGTTATTGCTACACAAACATTATATCGCAGTCTTAGTGTCGCCAACTCTGTTTCTAATACGCAAAAAGACTACAAAATGCGTCTATGATGTATTTTCGATCTTTCCAATCCAGACGAGATCTCTCTCCCCCGTCTGTGTGCGAGGGGGCGGGGCAGTTTACACACACACGCTCTGCTACATGCAGCAACACACACCCACGGAGGAGATGGCGGAGAGAACTAAGCGCTCTGAGGTGTGGTTCAACCCGTCTCGATGTGGACATCTCGTTACCAAAAGTGCAATAAGAGTTTAGTATCTAAGGGCGGTAACACGAGCAATTTGTCTAAACATTTAGCAAAAGTGCTCCACATTCAGACGGAGAACTGTCTTTCTAGTAGCTCTGTAGCCCCATCCACGAGTAACGTTTCCACGTCAGGTGTTATGTATGCTAGCAGCAACACACGGAGTTAACTCAATGATACAAACATGGGTTAAAGATTAGAGGTAACTGAGGTATTTATGTTGTTAAAGTTTCAGCTATTCTGTTTACAGTTCTGTCATCACATTATTTAATACGATTTGTTAAAACATTGTTGTTTCGTTTGATGTGAAATATTATTTATTTAATTTAAATAAAAAGCAATGTTAATTTTGTTCACAATTTGTTTAGTTAATTTACCTTATTTATTTTCAAAAGAACCGTTAAGAGTACTGTTAAAGGACCGGATTGATAAAAGTAGTAGTACAGTAAAACCTTAACGATCCGAATAATCCATTAATCGTTTCATTAATCGATAGATTAATTGATTATCAAATTAGTCGTTTGTTGCAGTCCTAGCACACACCTGGATAAACAACATTTGAAAATACTGCAGCTGTTTTGAGGTTGTAAATCAATGTTTTAATACAGTTTGGTTGTGTTCAACTACATGTACAGAGGGGATATGGATGAACAATCAATGTTACTTTACGGGGGTGACATGGGGATGAGTAAATGTCACAGAAATTGTTATTTTTGTGGGGGAAATTTGTATTTATATATTAATACAGACTATTGATGGAAGCAGGAGGGCAGAAAGTATAGCTTATAAGAAATACAATTGCCCGTAAGTCATCCAATGTCAACGTTTTTGGACAAGAACCACAAATATCATGGCATAGAAACAACAAACTTGAGTTTCAGAACGTATATAAACATATTATATTAAAGTTCCCTATTATCAACTCCAACTTCCTGATTTCTGAACGTATTGAAATACATTTTTATTTATAAATTGTTTAGATCGTGTGACGAATGTATAGTGACATAATTATCTTTACTGGGCCATCAAGCCATCTTTCTCTTTCTGAAAGCTAAACAGAAAGTTTGTCTGGAGTTGAATTTCTGGTTCCACTGATATTCACATGTGAAACAGTTCTGCTGCTCCCACAGAGAGCCAGAAGGAAACACACATATGTTTCAGCTGAGGTCATTTAGTCACACTCAGCTCACAGTTAGCATGTTGGCGTCATTCCCTCACAGTATTGAAGTCACTTTGTCCTTATGCCAAAGATAAAAAAACAATAGAGGAAGGAGTGGCAACACAAAGCATCCTGTTAACATCCCTGATAAGCTTTTATGGGCTCAGAGTGCACAGAGAAAGTGGGTTTTGGTTTTTACCTCGTCGATGTTGCGCAGCCATTTGCTGATGTTTTCGAAGCTCTTGGCGTTGGTGATGTCGTAGACCAGCATGATGCCCATGGCTCCTCTGTAGTAGGAGGTGGTGATGGTGTGGAACCGCTCCTGGCCCGCTGTGTCCCTACACACACACACACACACACACATTTTATTTATATTTGTGTTCAGTTTTTCTTGTTTTAATTCCAACCTTTATCCCAAACAACAAACGGTTCTGCAGATTTTCACTGAATCATAGCAGAAAATGGCAATAAAATATCTGCAGATTGACAGAAATGCTGTTCCAAGATGCGGTGATTTCTTACTTTCCATGGAAACGCATCACATCATATATCAATAGCAAATGGAAAAAGTTTTGTTAAAGCCAAAAAAACACCACCAACAGTATTTAATAATATGATTTAGTGTACATTAGCCTTCAATGTCTGATCTGATCTTCTCTGAGTTGTGAACATTTTACTATTATTGGTGCCAGTAACATACCGTCATAAAGTATCTGTCAAAGAAATGGTAATGCCATTTGTTTGGTCATTGAAAAGAGGCAGATGCAAGTTAAGGTATTTATATCCTTAGCACAATTGTGACTAAGCAGTTAAAGTACATATTGTTAATGCATTGCCAAGTCAAGTTGAACTTGGTCAAACTAAATAAAAATTCCACCGCAGGCTGAGCGTGACCTTCACACACCTAACATGCACCTCAACTTTGACATTTTTCTTTCCATGTGAACCCTGCCGATATTTATTCATCACTGCTGCCACACAAAAATGAGAGAGGAAGCCCAGGAGCAAAACAAACCATGACGTTGGAAAGAAAAGCTGGCAGTGAGTGCGAAAGTTACATTTTATTGAACCGTTTTTTTAGCATGACCACATCTCTGAGTGTTTAGGCTTTCCAGTGAATATTATATCCAGACATAATGTGCCAAGACAGGAAGAGGATAACATTTCATGTGGACAGAAAGTGAAACACAAAGAGGTTAAAAGGACTGCGTCGGTCCAAATGTGATCAAGTTTCAGATCATATTACAATCATGTCGGCTTGTGATTTTTATAAGCCTGTAAACTATTTTACAATCTAAATTTGGTAAGAGATATCCCTGTGAAATTGTATTTATGTACAGGTCACAGGGGCTAGAGACTCTTAGCATCGGAACTATTTAGCTCGTGGAATCATTTAAACGTAAAGATTTCTTGTAAGCTAATATAATATCCAGCTACAGTCAATAAGGCAACAATAAATAATGCAAGATTACTAGAAAATCCAAATAATTGTTAACTGCATTCCTATTTGCAATCATACCAAAACCTCACTTCAGGTTAAATATTAGTAATGTCATTTAAAGAAAATTAGCTGAAGTGGATTTCAATGATAGCTCCCGATGGACGGATGATCATTTCCTGTTGGAGCATATTTCTGGGCTTCAGGGAGGTTTGTCAAACAGATGTTTCCCTCATGTAGCAAGGCCAAAACTAAAGAGGTTGAATTAAAAGATGATTAACACAGAACCTCAACTTGGTCCAATAACTCACCAGATCTGTAGTTTAATCTTCTTTCCTTGTAGTTCAACCGTTTTGATCTTGAAGTCTATTCCTGTGAACAAAAAATAAGACAAATCAGCACACATGAATCACAAATATATGAATAAGCACATGTAGCGATGACAATGGGTCGTGTGTAAATAGCAGAAAATAGGGTTTTTAAAACAGACTTTGGCACCAAACAGAAAATCATGAAATCACAGACTGTAGGAGGAGAGGGAAATGGAAAGTGTTTCTATCTGGGGGACAAAAACATTATCTCTTCCTGATTCTGCAGCGTCATGCCCACACCTCCAGCCTATATGCAACTGAATAACAATAGTTACACACACTCACACACACATAAAAACCAGGTTAAATCAGGTTAACACCGAGACTAGGGATGCTCCGATCGATCGGCCGATACTCACTCTCTGCCGATCGATCGGTGCTCTCTAAAAATGCCGATCGCGAGAGCCGATCGCATGACGTAAAATACATGACACTTTTCTCTGTGCGCGGCAAAACAAGCTCGCCAAAATGGCTTCACCAGTCTGGCAGTATTTTAAGGTGTCCGAAAATGACAATAAAATAGCGGTATGCAACGTGTGTGTGAAGCAGAAATCATGCAGCTCCACCCGCTGTGACGGACCGGTGAGCGGAGCAGAACACACATTAAGAGTTAGACCTAACACACTTAGCTATTTGATCTACCTCTGGAACAAGCTAAACTAGTTATAAATATATGTATTCTTCACTGTCGGGTCACTCATTACTGGATCAGTGAGCTGCAGGAGATACTGACGGGCTGTCAGGAGGGAGAGAGACGGGGAGAGAGGAAAAGAGAGCGCTTCCGCTAATTTCTCCCGTGTTATTATCCCAAGTTAATGTAAACTTGAATAATGTACTTCATTTGAATGTAATAATTATGTTGGTTGGTTGGTTTGTGGAAGCGCCAGTGAATGAGCCCCATTAACTGAGTTTTAAACATCACTTTAAATGGAAGATCCCCATAGGCCCCGCCCCCTCGATCGGTATCGGCCGATACTGATTCCGGCAATCGGCCCCAAAATTGGCGATCGGAGCATCCCTAACTGAGACAGTGACTATGTGTTTGCATGTAACACAGAAACCGTGTTACTGTAAAACCTGTAAGATTATTTGGTTAGATTTGTGGTATTTTGTATATTTTAAGCGTTTTAATTTACTTGTATTTTTGGTTGAAGTGTTGCTAGTAAGAGGACAGGGAGCAGTTTTGCCTACGTGTGCATGTTTTTTAATGTGGAAACTAAATTTCACTTTCCATTTGGGCTGGACTATTTACATTTGATACAAGAACGCTTCGCTGCATTTTCTTTTGACTGCCATCAAGTCTTTCTTGGCAAACTGGTTCATATTTCAACCTACTTGTTATCTATATATTATCTCAAATCTGTATTGTTGTAAAGAGCTGCGACGTAAAAAAAAAAAAAAGCAATTCACTTTTTTTTGAGAGTAGCAAATAACAAGTGCTGTGAAGACGTCACTTTGGGCTCAAGACAAATTGTGATGTGCTTGTATGAAAGATGTACGGCTACTCCTCAGATTAATCTGCAGATGTATTTTTTGACAAATACATTAATCCCAGTTTCCCAGAGCCATAAATGATATTTTCAAAATGCTGGTTTTGCAAAACAATAGTCCAAAAGCCTAATATATTCAGTTTACTATCATAAAGTCCAAAGAAAAGCCTCATTCGAAAAGCTGGTCCCAGTAAATGCTTGAAAGTGAAGTAAGTGGGAAATTATCAAAATACTTGATGAAAGATCACTCACTAAAAAAAACTATCATTATTTGTAACCTTAGAAAAGACTCCTAACTTCTAGTTGCAGCTAAAAAGTTAAATTACAAGGTGAAAAAGTCAAATGCACACAAACTGTTCTCATGAATTATCGTGATCATAATATTTAGTCAGCTTTAGTTGGATTATAGTCTTTGTCACGATTGTAGAGCTCTAGAGGCCAAGAGTTTTCCAGTTAAATGGTGAGCTGTCAGTTCAGCTCTGGTCAGAAATTGTGGTCGGTTAAAAAGTCCCCAAGAAACAGCTGTTCTCTAGGTGGAGCCGGTCCATACGATAATGAAGGAAGTGGCTGCCAATGAGTGACTCACTAAATAATATGCCCTCCCCAGAGAGAGGGAGGAAGGACAGAAGGATATAAACTCAAAAAGACAAATAGGAGAGAGAGATTTCTGCAGATAGGACACAACTCACTATACTGACATTTATACCTGACCTCCAAAACTCTAACACGAGCATTCATAAGTCATGTAAAAGGGGGTAAGTGGTCTTGACGGATGTACTACTAAAAGTTCCAAAAGATCAAGCTCAGCAGGGATTGACGTAATGTTTAGGTCTTCCTATCAAGGAGTGAAACTTTTCTTCCTCCCAGTGAGGTGCACTGGCAAGTTGACAAGAAAATATGTACATTGTGCAATGCCATGTTTACCCAATGGCTGGAAAGACGGGCATTCTTCAACTGAAGCGAATGACAATCCACTTGGACGTCTTAAACAGAGAGTGCATGGTTTATGGCTGGCTCTCTTTTTTTTTAAATCCCAGAGGAACCATTCCTTCCCCAAGTCTGAATTCCACTGCAGCGATCGCCAGTTTCCATGCAAAATTAATCATGTGTTGTGAAAGGAGATTTCAGATCACAACCTCATGCATATTCAGCACTCTAAATGTGCAATAATAACCTTAAATAAACAAGGAACAAGGGCAGCGAGGGATTGGAAATAAGGATGATGAGTGAGAGGGGTTTTCCAGCGGGGGTATTTTGAGAAGCAGCTGTGCATCTGTGTCTCCAAAGGTATGAGTACTGTGTCAGAAGAAGACCACACTCCTGTTTCACATGACGTCCTGGTTCTGCTGGTTCTCAGCAAAGTTCTGGCTCTGATAACACTTTCCAGTTCGGACACGAAGGGCTGCAACAGATTTATGTAGAAGGGCTTTTCCAAAAAAGGAAGGGAGGCAGAATCTTTGCAAACTTTGGACTGTACATTTTGTACTTTCTGCAATACAGTGCATTTACTTAAGTCGTTTGGTGCATCTACTGATCATAAAGTAGTGTCTGCCAAAACATTAACATCGTAGCGAACAAAATACTGGGGGAAAAGGATGTACCCTCTAAGTATATAGCAGCAGAAGCAGCACACATCAAAGGACTTGTGTTGACATTTGTCCAAAGCTCGAAGAAGTTCATATATGTTGCGGTCACAACTTAACACTGATAATAAGAGCCAGAAGAAATAGTTGACCAATAGAAAATCGGTTAATTACACAATTTTTTAAGCACAGAAGCCAAAAATGTTACGAGTATTTGATGCTTTCCTTTGACTTGGTGATAGTCAACAACAGCAATCTGAAGATGTCACCTCAAGGATATAATTACGAGTATTAGATGATAACAGTAAGATGATCAAAGATACTTGGAAGGCATGGTATAATAAAGTACCTCTGAGAATGAGTAATATCACATTATTCTCACTTAGTTAATTATTGTTTAAAACCAGTGCTCCCTGACAACCATGATGTGCTGAGAGATTATTATATTTTCCATTTCCTTAACTTCTCATCACGTTGCAGGTTACTTTGTTTTGAATACAAGCTGAGACAGAGGATTATGACTGTGTGGTAGTTTTTAAAAAGGGGACAACTGTCAGCTCACATCCTGACACCAGGAGAATTATGTTGCTTCGTAATCCCTAATGTCAGTATCGTGCCAGACCTATCTCCGAGGTCTTAATAACAACAACTTGTAAACGTACGTCAAAGTTAAATGCCCTATGTTTACCCTAGTTTTTGGAAGAACTCAAGCAAGAAAGAAAGCAAGTTTATAATAAACACCAACACAAACATTTTAGAAGGGTCAATTATGTTATCCGTAATTATATTTTGGAGTTTATTCGAATATTTTGGGTGTGGACAGAGTTTTTCCTAAACGTAGGTAACAGAAATACATGCAGTATTTACAGGTATTGATATACTTGATACCAAACTTGGCAGGGAAGTACTGCTGCGAGGAGCAAAGGTCACTAAAGGTCTTTGACTGCAGAAGAACCTGTAAATCTGCATCTGACCATCACACACATCTCTCCCTAAACTGGGTGAACTGGCAGAGATCCAATGGCTTTATCTCAGACTATGACTACTGTTTGAGAGCATAATAAAACACAAACACTATATGCTGATGACAAAGCAGCAACAGAACATCAACAAACAGATACATGTGACAGCAAGCGTTGCAACAGAGCGGTTGTTTACTGCTGCACCTTAACAAATCTCATCTGGCCTAGATGTTACTGGGAACACTGTTATTATGCAGTCCTGAAAAGTGGTCAACCCTTCAAGTTAAGAAAAGATGGGCTTGAAATTAAAGCTAGTCCAAAAGATTAAGGATATAAAGCCAGTGCATTGCAAACACATCTTATGTTACATTATTACTCAGCACTGCTCTTAAGCAACAGCAGTAAATGAAACCTTCACTGGGGCCTTGAAGGGATTTGACACAGTTTGACATTTGACTCATGTGAGCGTGATGTCGGAAGCATGCTAGAGTACAGAGAAAGAAAGCTGATGATGCCACCATGGTGAATTGTTTATGGTTCTCTATGGAGCAGTTCTAGAAAAGTATGTTAGAGGTAATTGAGTATTTTTCAGTACCAGTTCCAGCTTCTTCATACTTATTTTCCACTACACATCAGAGGGGAAATATTTACTTTTTCGATTAACGGCAATTATTTGACATCTACAGTTAGGCTGTAGATTAAGATTATGTGTACAAATCATGTGATCTTCTTAAAGTATTGCTTACATATTAATAAAACATTATCTAAAACAGAGCCATCTTGAAAAAATAACTAACCTAATTCACTCATAATGCATTTTTACTTCTACCTACTTTTGTATTCAGGGTTCTTACCAGTAACATAGTAAATGTATATTATGAAATTGCTACTTTCATTTTAGTAAATGATCTTAACAAGTAATGATCAGTGGTTTTGAGGGACTTTACTTGTGTGTCATATATCATTCTGAACAAAGATCTAAATATTTGTTGACTTTTTTGGTATGATTCATGACAGGGGGGAAATCCATAGAGTTACATGTGATTATATTAATATCTAAACGTCTGTCAGTAATATTGAGATACTGTTTTAGTGTTTTTTGTAACAGTAGCACGGCCCTGCCTATACTGCTACTCAATGCTAGCCTAGTTAGCTAACTAGCCACTGGGTCAAGTGCCATGACAGCAATTCCTCTGGCACATAAACCGGTTATACTCGGCATTTTTGGCATGCTAAACAAACATAACAACCATGTTTTGTTATTAAAAGTAGCACAGTTAGCTGGGGGTATAGCTAGGAGCTAATAAAGCGGCACTAGTAGAGGAGAGGCCTGTGTGGAGAGGAGCTAACATGCTGATAGCATTACTAGCTAACCAAATATGTCCAGGAGAAAGTCAGACGAGTCTACCAGCTGTCAGAAGGTGATGGTATGACAATAAAAATTAAACACCTGTAGCAACACATCATGCAGTATCTTCTTACCTATGGTGGAGATGAAGGTGGTGTTGAAGGCGTCGTCAGAGAAGCGGAACAGAACACAGGTCTTCCCCACGCCCGAGTCCCCGATCAGAAGCAGCTTGAACAGCAAGTCGTAAGTCTTCTTCGCCATTGAAACACAGCTTGTGATTACCCCAGATAAGATACAAAAAAAATATGTATATATTCCCCTAGCACGCTTGTGTGCAGTCTAAAGCCAGCTCCTTAGCCAAACTGTTCTCTTGTTAACAATCTGGGATGTGTTGATTAGCTTGGCAAGCTAGTCGGCTAAATACCACCACCACCAATACCGTGTCCTACAAGTTATATATATATCCCAAGCCCGACTGGTTTTTCTCCCCCTTTACAGCATGAGAACAGAAACAGAAAAAATAAGGATATCCTTCCGTGTGATTCCTCTTTTCCACTCTTTCTTTTCTCCCACACAGTCGGGACAAAATGGCTCCTCTCTCTATCTCTCTACCCCCGACTCACTCTTTCTTCAAACTAACGGCGAGCTAATTCAAATTCTCGGCACACCCCGTCATTACAGAGCTCTGCCACAAGCTCAACCGAGAAGAATTTGAAAAGAAAAATCTCAACGTAAATTCGCTGCCTGCTCGGAGTTATTTCGCCCTTTTTTCTGGAGAGATTACTGCTGAAATATACCATAGACGACCGCCGTCGCCTTCGAATGGGAGCCACCACGGCGACACCCTAGGCCTCCACAGACACGCCTGTCTCCCGCCCCTTCTGTCAAAATCCACGCCTCTGATTGGTCAAGTGTACTGTCATTTAAGCAAGCACTCAAATCTGATTGGGTATCCTTGCTAACATATAGAGGTAAAGGGGCGTGTCTTACCCTGACAGAAAGGGCAAATGTTACTGCGTACGTTGCGCGGCCATTCAGGCTCAAAGAGCCCTTTACTTTACTGAATGGAAGGTATATAAGGAGCCAATATGGCGGCCAGTTTCATATGGACCTTTCTTAGCTGGGGTGTGTTTCGGTTTTCTTGATGCGGTGACTATCCCAGCTGTGAGTCAGGCAAAGTGATGTCATATATAAGTACTTGTGTGCTTGTTAACGGGCGTTTCCCACATCCTCTGCCCTGTGAACTGTGAGGCAACATGTATCCCCTAAAGTCTCTTTTAATAACTGGAAACACACGGAGAGAGTATCAGCATTTACACCCTTCCTTATGTGTGTTCTTTTAATGTGTGCGTGTGTTTGAGTGTGTGTTTCTTTCCTTCTTCCGCCTGTCAGAGTAGTTTGACTCTCAGACACTCCCAAGGAATGTTGAGTATGCCCTGCTTTCTACTGCCGAGTACAGACTTGCCACAAAGTAAGAAAGTAGGACAAATAAAGATGTAAAGAAAACAGACATATAAAAACATATAAAGTAAGGGTAAAGGGAGGATGTTAAAGAGAGAAAGACCTAAAGAAGTATGGGTTATTTTTAATGGAAGAATCCCCATTGCAGTGCCCTTAAGCACAGCTAATCTTCCTGTAGTCCAACACGTATTGCTGTTGTTATTATTATTATCATGTAGACTTTAATGATCCCACATGCTTCCCTAGCATTTTCTAAAGTAAACACATTTATGTAAATGCATTCAAATTAAACCCAGATTTACCACCTGCAATATTAAAGTGATGAGCACATTATTGCATCAATTATCATAATGTATAACTGACCATTGTGGAAATTGACTACTTTATGTTTATTATGGTGCTATAATACTATTGCACTTTTACTTAACTCACATTTGTAATGCATGCCTTTCACCAGTAGAGTATTTTCTGTGAGATTGCTACTTTTCTTAAGTAAAAAAATCTGATTTCAAATTATTCAAGTTTCATGAACTTGTTTAAGAGATATTTCAACCAAAGTGGAATTTAACAGCCATGCCATACCATGAAGAAATAGAGCAAACAGAACCATCGCTAACCAGCCCATGCAAAGCCTGAAACAGATGTTACAGAGGTGAAAAAGGTGTGATGCAGCAGTTTTCATGTGAGCTCACAGATTTTCTTAAGACAGTACTTTAAGGTGAAGAACAGCTTTTATTTTTTGTGTTAGCTCATGTCTTAGTTTGATCCCTGCTCTGTCCCTTAAGCAATCTTTGTTATGCCAATTAATCAAGTCGTAACATACAAATCCTCCCAGGTCAGGACACATTCCTGTAATTTGCTGCATGGGGCCCCAGGGTTCATCTCATTCTACAAAACAGCCAACAACTAAACTAGCACTCAAAGCCCTGCAATGCTGTGATGGTTATGAACTTTTAAGGAGTATGTTTTCACTTTTAACCTGTTTGACAACTAAACCAGATGATCTTATGGTGTATGAGTTCATTTAGCGTTTTATCAATGGTGGACTGTTAAATGGTGACAGAAAGCAAGAGGGAGGGAGAGAGGGAATAACATCTCAGCAGCAGTTCAGTTTTAGATGTGTGTTGATCTCTTGGCCCAATTCTGCTTTTCTTAACAATTTAAATCCATTTTTTTATTTGCAAGAGCTAAACAAGTTAGTTTTAGTTTCAAGAAAGATGTCAGACAAAATTCTCAATTATTCCTTTGTTTCACTTCTGCTTTTTTTGTCTCTGTTTTGGTGGTTTCATCTTTTGTTTTAATTTCTTTTGGTCTGGCTTTTATTATGAAGGTTGTGCAGACAGGGTTGTATATTTTTTTTAATTCCCCATGTGGCTGAGCCTTTCCCCTTTCTGGTCAGTGAAGCCAACACAATCATAAAACAATCATATTATTAAAAAGGAAATATTATGTGAAAATATTGATAGGTTTGAAAGGGAATCCTCCAGAAAACCCCCACAGTGTTTCCTCCCACACTTATCTCCTGATCAGTTTCCGACCACATGCAGTCCACACTTATGTCGCCAGGTGGTGCTGCTGTGTCATGGTAAAATGGTTAAAAAGTCTAGTTTTATTTTTTTTACATTTAGCCACCATGTCCTCAATTTGTGTCGCTTTGGGAGCCCAGTTGCATAAGAACTGGTGTGTGAGAGCTTCAAAATCTGAGTAGTAATGATTTAAGAGTAACTTGGAGGTTGACTTCAAAATGTTCCAGTTTACGTATTACTAAATGTATTAACGTTTCCAGGAAATTCCTATTTGAAAAGTTAATGCTGGATTTTATATACTTTACACGAAGTAAGGACAGAAATTCAGAGGATAGGCATTTTGAGCAATAATCTTAAACAAATGCTCCAATTAAGAATTAAGACCAAAGTTACACCTGTCCCGAGATAGATATTGTAGAACATGTTAAATTAATTTAACCTTGCATTTAGAAATAACAGGCAATATACTTGGTTGAAGACAGATAAAGATCCATGCAAGAGTATAACCCAAATATAAAAGAGGAAATAGAGAGGAAAGTATGTAGTATTTACATGTGGGAAAATAAAAGTTGAATCAACTCAAATCTACACATATAGGCTATCTATTTCCAACTAAATTAAAGGGCACACATTTACTAACCTTAATATGAAATAAATATCTAAAACTGTGTGGGCATCAGCATAGTAGGCTACATTATAATGTATAATGATAAAAAAGACACATGCTTCAATACTAACCAAATGAACAGTGTGTATGTAGCCTTCGTATAAGGAGATGGTGGCAGTCTTGGAAAAGGATCAACTCAACAACGAGACGAAACTCCATTTCCCATAATCCTTTGTTCCACTCCGCAGTGTTGTGGGGTGTGGTGTTTGAATGAACGTGTGTATGTGTGTGAGTGTAGTGTGTGTGCGTGTATAATGTGTGCGTGTGAGTGTGTGTGTGTGTTTTGGGTACAGGAGGGGAGCTCCGTCTCTCTGCACAGACCGAGCTCGGAGCATCAGTGAGCGGCGGAGAGGATGCGGGACGGCGGTGTGTGTGTAGCGGATCTACCGGGCGTGTAAAAAGCAGGACGATATGAGTGTGACATCTGAACTGAACGCTATTATTGTCGGCATTGTTGGATTTTTTTTTTCACCGAGTGAATCTGGACGTGGATCTGCAATGGAGCGTCGATCCTGTGAGAGCTGCTGACCGTGTGTGTGTGTGTTTGTGAGCTAATATTACAGACAATAATGAAAGGAGATTAGCCATTAGGCATAGACACAGCTCAGAATATCTTGGTAATTAGTCGGTTTTTTCTAAGGGACTGTGGCTATTTTCCTTTTATGATATAATCAGGTAGCATTACTGAATGTGTTATTAATGATTTAAAAAAATCAATGGTTACACAATTTGTTGGCAGACAGCAGGCTGATTAAAGGCCTATTTTGATTGTCATTTTATAAAGTGTCCTTTTGTTGCTTACAACGAGAGAGGCAATCATGTCTAAAAATAAAAGCAGCGAGTCAGTGAAGGTGGTAGTTCGATGCCGGCCCTTGAACCGGAGAGAGGAGTCCAATGGGCCTGCAGGGAGCATCGTGAAGATGGACATCCGGCTCGGACAGGTGATCCTCAGAAACCCTCGAGCCACAGCCAGCGAGCCCCAGAAAACATTCACATTCGATGCAGTTTATGATGCAAACTCCAAACAGCGAGATCTGTACGACGAGAGCGTGAGACCTCTGATAGATTCGGTTCTCGCAGGGTTCAATGGCACCATATTTGCGTACGGACAAACCGGAACTGGGAAGACGTACACCATGATGGGGGCGTGGATGGACCCCGAGAAACGTGGCGTGATCCCCAACGCTTTTGATCACATCTTCACACACATCTCCCGCTCACAGTCTGATAGGCAGTACCTGGTGCGGGCGTCCTATCTCGAGATCTACCTGGAGGAGGTTCGGGATCTCCTGGATCCGAACCACGGGAATGCCAGAGCCCTGGAGCTCCGGGAGAATCCGGACTCTGGGGTTTACGTTCGTGACCTCACATCGTGTGTCTGCAAGAGCATCAAGGAGATTGAGGAGGTGATGAACGTGGGCAACCAGGCGAGGGCGGTTGGGGCGACGGACATGAACGAACACTCGTCCCGATCCCACGCTCTGTTCCTGATTACAGTAGAGTGCAGCCAGCCTGGACCAGATGGGAGGAAGCACATCCGGGTGGGACGCCTCAACCTGGTGGATCTTGCTGGAAGTGAGCGTCAAGCGAAGACAGGCGTCCAGGGTGAGCGCCTGAAGGAGGCCGCCAAGATCAACCTGTCCTTGTCGGCGCTGGGGAACGTGATCTCAGCGCTTGCCGATGGGCGCAGCAGCCATGTCCCGTACCGAGACTCCAAGCTGACCCGGCTTTTGCAGGACTCTTTAGGCGGGAACGCAAAAACTGTCATGGTCGCCACTTTGGGCCCGTCCCCGCAGCACTACGACGAGACCCTCACCACTCTACGTTATGCCAACAGGGCCAAGAACATCCAGAACCAGCCCAGAGTCAACGAGGATCCAAAGGACGCTCTACTGCGAGAGTTCCAGCTGGAGATCGCTCGTCTCCGGGCTCAGCTTCATCACAGGAAGTGGAGGAGCAAACAGAAGAAGGAGCAGGTGGACGGAGAGGACTGGGAAGGAGATGTTGATGAGGAGACGGATGGCGAGGAGGAAAAGGCGGTGGAGGAGTACGTGAAGCTGGAGGAGCAAAGGCTGGAAAGGGAGAAACAGGACATCAGAGAAGATCAGTTCATGTTGGCTGATGAGAAGCAGAGGCTCCTGGGAGAGAAGGAGAGGATGATGGGAGATCTGAGGAAGGAGCAGGAGGCCACAGAACAACTGACCGCCAAGTACAAGGTGAGAGTCAGTGTTTTATTTCTTTAACCAATCAAATTAACAGCCCAAGTCATACATAACATTCTAAGTGCTGAATATAAGAGACCTTCAATACTTTTGCAGTCATAGGGTTTCTTTGAAAAAACATACAAATACACAAAAGAGTAAATTCATGATGAACAAAGATCAGATACAAACATGCACAGATTTGAAATTCATGAAAACATAATTTAGGACAAAACAAAGATGCCAAACAATGACTATTATAGTGCATTGCTCTGATTTCACATGGAGGCCATTTACAACCACCATCACATCAAGTATTTATGACAACCTGAATATCACTGAAGGTTGTTAAGGAGCAAAAAGACTAACTTACAGATCAATATTCCCAATGAACACACTGCCTCATCTTTCTATCTCTTTTACACAATCACACACATACACACACACACACACACACACCAGATTCAGGACATCTGTGGTATAATCATGGGTGATCTGATGAGCTTAAGGGACAGTAAATCTGTGCTCTCCATATCTAAACTGTGTGTGTGACGTGTGTATATGTTATCACTGACAAAGAAACTGATGCTTATTAACAAGGGACTAATATTATCACATGAAATTTGTGTTTGGTACAGCTTAGTTGTTGGCAATAAAATCTTAATTCCCAGGCTCCTCCAACAATGTACTTTAGACATACATTTAAATAAATAAAATAGTGCTAGTGACATATCGGTGCAGGCAGAATGCAGGAATAAGCAAACTATAAAGTCTAATGAGCAGAAGGTTAAACTAAATACTGTACAGTAGAATACATTACATTATATTTTGTTATTTATATATATATATGTGGTATATAAACAGATTTAACCAGCAACATTGGTTCCACTGACGGGTGGTGGTTGCCCTTTCTCTACAGTTGTCTGATGTCTCATATATCCAGACAGGAACTGATGACCAATAGCTTAAAATGTCAGTGCTTTAGTTGCCCCCCACACACACACACTGGCAGGAATCAAAGACTGAGCTGAATTAATTACGCCTCTGATTCACGGCCATAATAAGTCAATAAATCAGCCATGCAGAATGACTGAGTGACCACAGTCTAAAATACTGCAGCTGCAGCCGTTACCATCCGACATGAATCACTACTGGATCATTTTACTGAGCTGCACCAGCCATAAAGGGAGGAAATGAGAGGAGGGAAAAGTTATCTATAGAACGAGAATAAGAGACGGAAAGAGGTTGTTTGTAACAACAATACTTACTAGTATGACTTTTTTCTCTTATCAATTCTGTGTTATTTAGGAAAATTAAAGTGTTGTTCTTTACGTTTTACTACCTATCACTCAACCTTGCAGTGTCTACTCCAAATGCTGAGGTGTGGGTAATAAAAAGCCTGTGTAGGTGGTGCTGTAAAAACAGGAAGAGATTACCCACTTAAACCCATGTCACAGCATTGTGACTGCATTACACTCTGATATAGTAGATAACATTGTCCTGTTTGCCATTGTTTTTAATAGAATAATGCACACTGCAGCAAACACTCTAAAGAAAAGCTCTAAAATCTGTCAAATTGGCAAAAATATTGCTAATGTAAGCAGCACTCTTGCCATCCTATAGTAAACTAATTCTCAAGGTTCGTAAGCTATATTTAGTTTCAGCCTCATCTTTATTGTGTGGCTTCTCTTCCTTCTGAGTGAAGGTATGAGGTGTGGGAAAGTCCCATGAGACGGAGCTAATGTATGGCCTGATGCCGTGCCCTTCACACTGAGTGCTTTCATGTACGAATGTGTGCAAGGCTTCTCGTATTTCCTCCCATCACGTTGTCCTCTAAAGCGCTATCGGGCTAATGCAGTTTTGTGCAGAATCGTATAAAATCTACTATGAACTCACAGCAGTTCAGACGGGTTCTGCCTCTGTGTGTTTGATGCTGACTGTGTGGCTGCTGAGTGATGTGAGCGCTGAGAATCAGCTAAATCTGTGCCCAGAAGAGGAAGATGAGTAAAGACGTGAAGTATTTCCTGCCTATGATACATCGGTCTGTTTGTTTAGATTCTGAAAACCTGCAAACGTCTGGCAATATTCTGTTTATTCCATCCATCCATCCATCCATCTTCTCCCGCTTATCTGTGGTCGGGTCGCGGAGGTAGCAGTTCCAGCAGAGAGCCCCAAACGTTCCTTTCCCTGGCCACATCGACCAGCTCTGACTGGGGGATCCCAAGGCGCTCCCAGGCCAGCGAAGAGATATAATCCCTCCACCTGGTCCTAGGTCTACCCCTTGGTCTCTTCCCAGCTGGACGTGCCTGGAACACCTCCCTAGGGAGGCGCCCAGGTGGCATCCTTACTAGGTGCCCGAATCACCTCAACTGGCTCGTACAATTGTCATAAAATCTCATGAAAAAACATTTACTAGGTGACATGTTCCTTCATTACGATACACAAACACTATAGGTTACTTTAAGTCAATTCCACATATATCATCCTGCAGCCCCAAATACTCACTAGATTAATACGCAGCTGAAAGTCCCTAGAAAACGTACACTTTACTTTTGTTAGAAACTACGGTACACTGCTGTTCAACGATATGACCTAGTATTACGTTTGAAAACATGTATTTCTGAAGCACATTTTAAAGTTTTTCACTTACAGTATGAATGAGTGTCAGGATCAGTGCCACAGACAGAGTAGGGAACTCTGAAATTATTGAGAGATTTGATGGTTTTATGGAATTTACTGGTGAAAAAGTGTTGTAATTACAGCAAAAAATGGCAGTTGTGGTTGCCAGCATTTCACCATAATATATACTGTAGAACTTTTTCTACAAACAGTATACGGACATTAAAACTGAAACTGATTTTACGGTTAAAGGTGGAGTTTGATTCCATGTTCTACCGTTAAAAGAAAAGCTGTTTTGTCAGATGATTAACATTAAATTAGTTGAACTCTAAAGCTTGAAAGCCCTTTTTTACTGTGTACACTGTGGGAATAAACACAACAACTAGCCACGTGTCACATGTTTGGGTCACAGATCAGTTTTATATGATTAGGATGTCGACAAAGAACCCTTTATGTCCATTGGATGTTTTTACCTCAGTGCTGTCGCCGCAATTCATGCTCACAACTTAAGGTTATCCTTGTTTTTTTTAAAGGACAATCCCCCCTATTATCCCGCATAGACAGCGTTTAAAAAGAGGTTGGATATTTTTTTTTTTATTTAAAAATATATAATCATATGATATATTCAAAAATGTACCACATAAAACATGCACTTCATCATTAACTTCTAATTAGTACCCATGACTTCACTGTGATCCCACCACAGTCTGATCAATCAGCTCCAGCCTATCTTTCCTCTGATTGGCTGAGCTTGGTATTAGCCAACCAATCACAGCCTGGTGGCCTGAAGGTTCCATTTCTCTCTCTGCTTTGTTAACCAATGAGAAAGAAGTTGCTAGGCAGAGACAGATTGAGAGAGAGGGGCTGGAAAAATTAGCTCAGAAATGACCAATTATAGATAGAAATCGGATTGACTCCCTTCTCCCTTTCCCTCCCTTTCTCTCCCCCTCACGTACATCCACACAACAGATGTAAGTAGGTCAGGATCCAGCCTTGTGAATCAGTGTAGGGTCAGCTGGTGTTTCTGCAGGGTGCTGCGAGCTAACTGGCTCCAAGGTGCAGCGCTCCATCTGTGGACTGTGTTTTGTTATGTTGGTGCAACTGTTGTTCAGCTGTTGTTGCTCTGCTGGAGATCCACCAGCTTTAATTCACACATAGCGGTGGAAGGAAAAGTATACAGAGCTTTTTGCTTTAACCCTTGTGTTGTGTTCGAAAGCTGTTACCGTTCATGGTGTTCGCGGGTCAATTTTGACCCATAATTTATTTCAGTCCAAAACACACAAAAAAATTACTATCATCCAATATTGTTTTAACTACATCATAACTAACTTATTATGCATTCATAACCGTACAATCCTGTTGTAATTGTATTCTATGGCCCCAAAACACATTACACCACATATTGCACACGTGCAGTTCAAGTGTTAGTGTACATATTCTTTGTGAAAGGTCGAGTTCCCGTGGGGGGAGGGGAGACCAGGTGTATGTTGCGAAAAATTATTGTTACAGTGGATGAAGAGGGTGGGGGAGGGGTGTCTAAAGTCAAAGATGAATCTTGATTGGGCCAAATTTGACCCCGAGTCACCCAGAACAATTCTGCTGGGTCTCCCCAGACCCGAACACCAAATTATACACTTTTTTTTTTAGAGACCTTCAGACTTGGCTAAAATTGTCAAAATCAGTTTTGTAGAGTTTATATAGCTGTTGTGGAGGATATCATGAAGCCTTGTTCCGATACAAAAAACTAGAGCGTAGTTATTATATAACTTTAACTTGAAATGGGTCACGGGAGACCCGAACACAACATAAGGGTAAATAAAAGTACTAACACTGTAACAGAACTGTTTTACAAGTTGCCTAGAAGTCTTGGATTGAAAAACATTGCAAGGATGAGAGTATAATCAGGAGAAATCATGCACTAATGTCGAATCAGGATTTTCGAGGGTTTGGCAAAAACATTGTGTTCATTTGCACAATTTTTTTAAAGTGCAACTAATGATTTCCTAACTCTTTTATTTATTTTGAACATGTAACAATCATTTAAAGTAAAAAAAATAACAAAATGTAATAAAACAGTAAACATATGGCACACTTTCGATAGACACATTATCGTAATCAAAATAAATAAACACTTGTATTACATTTCCCAAATTTACTAATTATTTTAATTATATGAATAGATTAGTCTGCTCTTTTACCAGTATTAGTATAGCTTCCAGCAGTATATGCAACATACTTAGCAATAAGAAAGATGTGCACTTTTTATACCACAAAAGCAAAATAAGGGTATAAAAATGTGAATTTATGAGGTAAATATTCAATTGTCAGCTATTACTGGCATTCATTTAACATTAGTTATTGCTTTGCTTTCACAACATAACTTGTTGTTTCCTGTC